CTATATGCAGAGGTTAACATGTGGCCGTACTGCATGACACTACAGAAGCCTTCTTTTTGTTACAGGCATCCGGTTTTGGAGATGGTTCAAGTTTTCACGTATCTGATTTTGTCATTGTTGGAACACTGATATTCATTACTAAAACCTTTAGCTAAAAAGTGTTCTATAGTGTGTTCAGGTTCTTTCAAAAAAGTTTCAGATTTGGTAATTTTCCTCAAATATGACAGCTGAGCGTATACAATATTGATCTGTGTGGTTGAACATATGTAATTAATTAATTTTGAGACAGGATCTCATTGTGTAGCATTGACTGCCCTAGAGCTCACTAAGTAAAGCAGGCTAGCTAGCTTTGAATTTAAAGAGATCCTCCTCTTGCCTCTGATTCCCAAGTGCTGAGATGAAAGATGTATGCCACCATGCCTGGCTAAATATATGTAATTTATTCTGCAGTGAATTTGTCTTAAAGCAAAAGGAAGAAACTAAGGACTTGACTGAGTCAGGAAATACTTATTACCCAAGAACTTTGTGACTAAGCCATTCCAGCTGAATTAGTGTGCTCCAGGGTCAGTGAGAGATCTTGTCCTTTTCTTTTAAAAAAAAAAATGTATGTGTGTTTTGCCTACATGTATCGCACAGTGCCTGCAGAGGCCAGAAGAGGAACTAGAGTTAAGGACAGTTGTAATCTGTCATGTGGATGCTGGGAATGGAATTGATGTCCTGCAACAGTGGTAAATGCTCTTACCCACTGAGCCGTCTCTCTAGCTCCCTAAAAGGAACTGACTTTTAAAATGTCACCAACTTTTCATGCAGGTAGTAAGAATGAGTCCTTTTCAGGAAAGAACATTGTGCAGCCCAGAGCAGGAAACCTCTCTTTCTACTGGGATTCTTTCAAAATAGTGTCAACAGTTGGAGAGAAATGGCAAAGCCTACACAGTCTGATTTAGGGAAGGTTGTCTGAGTTGTGCTTAGGCGTCCCAAAGTCTGGTGAGGATGGTGGACCCTCCTGGCTGCCAAACCAGTCAGGTTGCATTCATTCATTGTTGTGGAGTAGGTGTGAACTCATTCATGTTTTCTCACCTGCATTCAAGAGGCCAGGAAGGCCCTGCTACTGATAGAGCAGTGTGGGGAATGTGATTGCCACTGTCCTCTCCTCCCTAAAGAATGAACTTTCTTGACCCCATTCCAACTTGGTGGTTGTGGGTGCCTTCCTAAGCCAGTTGCTTTGGTGACTTGGGAGGCAGAATAAACCAGCAAGAGCTCTCTGGGAATCTGTTTTCACTGCCTGATAATGGAGTAATGCAGAGGAACTTGAAAAGCAGGTTTGGCTTGTAGTGGGATTGTAGAGGGAAGGTGACAGGATCTTGCCTGAGCACATGCAGTGAGGGCCTGTGCCCAGAGCCCCTTGTGGTGATTAGCCCAAGTAGCCACTGTGCTTTTTCTCTCTGTGGGGGCTTTCTTGGTTTGGGGTTTGTTCTAAAAACTGTAGATGTGGTGCCACGAGGACACTAAGAATGCTGATGCATGCATAAGTGCTGATTAAGGCTCAGGAGCTCATCTCATCATTGAATTGTATGGCTGCTTTTCCCTTCAGTGACTCTTTTAGAAAGAAAAAAGGAAAATGTTTGCTGTGGTTTCCATAGCTCATCTGTAGAAAAGGCAGGTTAGGCACAGCACACTCAGTCAGCTGTGAACCATGCCAGATCACGTGTAAGAAAGCAGCACTGGATTGCCAGTAGTCATGGACAATGAGGCAGTCATGCATCTGTGCAATCAAACTTGGCTGAGATCCCTGCCACTGGAATCAGTTATTCAGGGTGTCTGCCTGCTACTGTAGGGACTTATTAGAGTACAGGTACCCCTCCCCTCTGTGCTCTTGTGGGTTTTTGTTGTTGTTGGGGGGAGGTGTTTCTTTTTGAGACAAGGTCTCATGTAGTTCAACTTAGCCTTGACTGGCCAGCCCACTATTTATTACCAGAGATTGATTATTCTTGAACTCTGCCTCAACCTTACATGTGTTGGGATCATAGGTGAGCACTATCACATATAGCAGGTACTATTGGTTTCTACACAGCACCTAAACATAAAGAACTGTCTTATATACTCCCTCTGCCTCACCAGCCTCCCATGCACACCTTGGGCACCACTGTTTCTCCATTGATAACCACTTGTGATTTGGAAGGAAGGTGGAATTTTTTTGTGATTGTTGTTTGAGATGGGGTTTCTCTTTGTAACAGCCCTGGTTGTCCTGGAACTCACTTTGTAGACCAGGCTGTCCTCGAACTTACAGAGGTCTGCCTATCTCAGCTGGAATTAGAGGCATGCACCACCACCATCTGGCTAGAAGGTGGAATTTTTTGCATGGACAGATAGATAGCCATCTGCTTCTGTTGGGCTTTTTTGCTTAAAGTAAATAAATTGTGTGTTGCCTCCTTAGATTTTTGCCTGTACTTGTTCGTTCTCCCAATTCCCCAACATCACCAGACCGCCTGATAGAAACAACTAGATGATGTGCTCCCTGCTCTATGGCAACTAGTGACTCTCTTCTTAATTCATCTTGGGCTCATTTCCTTCTGCCTGGTTTGAATTCTCAGGGGATGCTTTGCCATGTTGAAATTAGTTATTCTTCCCTATCTGTAATTGGTAGCAGTTAAAGGTCAAAAGCCATAATCTCAGAATTTTTAAAGAGTATTGCCTGAGAGTTGTCCTCCCACCAATACTGCATTGCCAGAGTGTTTTGGCAGCAGGCCTCAGCTCTTAGGGCATGTGCTCCTCCTGCCTAGCTAAGAATCTCCTCTTTGTAGTTTTGTCAATCTGTCCTGTCCATCTGTCTTTTCTTCTCACTTCCTTCCATTCTCCTCTCCCATCTTGTCTTCCTGTCCCCTCAACCCCTCTCTTCTTGGCCATTGGTTTCTTTTTTTTTTTTTTTTTTTTTTTAGTTTTTGTGAAGCAAGGTCTCACACTAGTTCAGGCGAGCATCAAACTTGAAGTCTGCCAACTTTTCAGCCTAGTGCTGGGATTACAGGGGTGACTCAACATGCCCAGATTTTTCTTTCTTTTTTTTTTTTTCTTTGACAATCTCACTAGATGTTCTAGCCTCGTACTTTCTGTCCTCCTGCCTCTGCCTCCCAAATATTTGAATTACAGCCATCTTATGTCTTATGTTTATATTTTTTTAAAATTCTTCTTTCTGGAAGCCTTTTTTCTTTTCTTTTTCTTTCTTTTTTTTTTTTTTTTTTTTTTTTTTTCGAGACAGGGTTCAGGGTTTCTCTGTAGCTTTGGAGCCTGTCCTGGAATTAACTCTTGTAAACCAGACTGGCCTCGAACTCACAGAGATCCACCTGCTTCTGCTTCCCGAGTGCTGGGATTAAAGGTGTGCACCCCCCCGGCGGAAGCCTTTATTTTTAATATACCCTGAAGTTCATATATAGGAAATTGAATCCCAGTGCAATTATGTTGGGCAGGTGTTTGGTTCTTAAAGTTCCACCCCCAGGAATGGATAAGGACTGTAATGAAATGGGCTTTGAAAATAGGTTCACATGGGCTGGAGAGATGGCTCAGCGGTTAAGAGCATTGCCTGCTCTTCCAAAGGTCCTGAGTTCAATTCCCAGCAACCACATGGTGGCTCACAACCATCTGAAATGAGATCTGATTCCCTCTTCTGGCCTGCAGGCAGACACACAGACAGAATACTGTATACGTAATAAATATTTTAAAAAAAAAAGAAAGAAAATAGGTTCACACTCACTTTACCATATAAGACCATGGAGTATGCAGCTGAAGGCTGTATCTTAGAGCCAAATATTTAACTTGCCAGGCCATGATTTAAGATGTCCAGCTCATACATTGTTACTAAGTTATGGAGCTTGTGGTGTTCTGTTATAGTAGCACAGAGGGACAGTATATAGAGAAGTGTTGTCATCCTGTCTTACACCATGCTTGTTCATTTCCTTGTGTGGTTAGCAGCCATAGATAGTCCACAGACACATCTCTTTCTGAAGGCTCCATGGCCTTCAATTTGCTTTTACTATTTATTAGGAGCTAACAATAGTGTTTTAGAAAGCAGTAAAATGCATTTGAATGAAAAACAAGTGAAGAATAAAAGTGGCCACTAGATGATGAAACCAGAGCCGTGAAAGCCTTACTATCCTTTGCAGAAGCCCTTAACATCTGATGGGCTCTGGTAAATTGGTGCCAGCTTGCTTGATTGGCACCCCTAGTGTTTCTTTTCTGCCAATGGGCCCTACTGAATGTATACATGCCCTTGCATCAACACATTCTCATATTTGCCTGTCCTCATAGGAGCATCCTTTTGTATAGGTCTTCAAAGGAATGTTTTGCCATCATCATTTTACTGTTTCAGTCTCTACCTTCTTGGACTGCTTGAGATGGATAGAACATTGCCTTAACAACTGTCTTCTATGACCTGGATGACAGAAATGCCTGGCGAGGTGACACCACAGTCTTTCTGGGCTTGTCCTGCTGTCACCAACGGGTGATGAAATATACAGCCTGTGTAGTATTGAGCCTAGAGTGTGACCAGCTCTCTAGTAATTTGTAGTACTTTTGACACTTTGATAAAGATGTAAGGTGGTTCTTTCCGATCTTGTAAAGAACTCTGTTAGGCTGTAAGAGGCCTCATGTGTCTCTCAAAGTACTCTTTTAGAGAGTAAGCATCCCAGCTCCCAAGTGTGAGTGTGCACAGCTCTAGTTAGATGTTCTGATAGGTGAACAGACTTGGGAAACAAGGGGTTGTTCCGCTATCTGTGCCTTCCTAGGCTAGTATGTGGCCTTTAGATACCTAGGACATCTATCTTGTGGACAAGGTTCTTTTTCTGCCACCTGGGACCTGGGATTGAATTGTATCCCCTCCCCCATGAGATTTCAGGAGGGATGATGGGAGAAGGTGTGGGGTGGGGGACTCCTGGGTAGGTGTGTCTCTGACCTTCCACAGGGCCTAAACTGGCAGCACATAACAGGACTGGAACAACTTGTTTCCTCAGGTCTCTGGCCAGTATTGCTTCCACCTGTCCACAAGCATGGGGAATATCTTTGCAAACCTCTTCAAGGGCCTTTTTGGCAAAAAAGAAATGCGCATTCTTATGGTGGGCCTGGATGCTGCAGGAAAGACAACAATTCTATACAAACTGAAGCTGGGTGAAATTGTGACCACCATTCCCACTATTGGTGAGAAGTTGGGCCAGGACCAGGGTGGGGGTTGGGTTTGGGGTTCTGGAATACAGAGGGTACTCAGCTATAACCTTGCCCTCAGGTTTCAACGTGGAGACAGTTGAGTACAAGAATATCAGCTTTACTGTGTGGGATGTGGGCGGCCAGGACAAGATCCGGCCACTATGGCGCCACTACTTCCAGAACACCCAAGGTGAGAGGCCAATTCTTTCCCTGGATTCCTTTTTTTTGCCTCAAAGGGATGCACTTGTTCACTGAGCGTCATGGCCTTGCCAGTCTCAGGACATAGTGCCACACTAAGTATCATGGTCAGTGGGAGGACTGGATCTAGAGCCTGTGGGTGGATCAGGTGAGGGGGTGTTTGGTATGTGCAGTAATGTAGCTGTGTTGCAGGCTTGATCTTCGTGGTGGACAGCAATGACAGAGAGCGTGTGAATGAGGCCCGTGAAGAGCTCATGAGGATGCTAGCTGAAGATGAGCTCCGGGATGCCGTTCTCTTGGTGTTTGCCAATAAGCAGGTAGGCACCAGCAAGTTCCTTCCCTGATGGAGAGCCTGTGTCAGGGAAGAGAGAGGGTGGGTGAGAGGCTGCCCTGGGTGACTGGCTGCTGTTGAGTCCCTGCTACTAATTCCTCCTTTCCCTCAGGACCTTCCCAATGCCATGAATGCGGCCGAAATCACAGACAAGCTGGGGCTGCACTCTCTACGCCACAGGAACTGGTACATTCAGGCCACCTGTGCAACCAGCGGGGACGGGCTCTATGAAGGACTAGACTGGCTGTCCAATCAGCTCCGGAACCAGAAGTGAACCAGACCCCTCCCTCCCCCTCACTTCCTCTTCTCCGCCCTCCGCTTTCCTCTCATGTGGCAAACGTGCGACTCTGTGGTCCTGAGTGCCAGAAGCTGTCTCCATGGGTTGGTCACAGTGTGCATCGCACCGTGCTGTACATGTGCAGACGCAGCCTGCAGCCAGGTTTTATTTAATGTAAATAGTTTCTGTTTCCACTGAGGCAGTTTCTGGTACTCCTATGCAATATTACTTAGCTTTTTTATTGTAAAAAGAGAATCAACTCACTGTCAGTACTGAGAAGGGATTTGGGTGTAGGGGCACCTGGCCTCTGGGAGCCATTGGGCTGTAGACTGGTGTCAGTATCCATTTGGTGGTTGGTTTTTACCCAAACTCAGTGCATTTTTTAAAATAGTTTAAAAAAAATACAGGACAAGAACACTTGAACACACAGAACGGAGACTATGCCTAGTGTAGGTTTTGCAGTAATGGCCTGAATGCTAGTCCATTGGATCACCTGTTTCCCCTATGGGAACAGAGAGAAGGTGGACACACCACCATCCGCTGCATGGTCACAGTAGAGCCCCCGTGACTCGCCTGTCTTGGGTCACCTGCATTCCATAGCATTGTGCTTGTACTTGTGCTCACATGGTCACCTAGGGGTGGGCTGGGAGCCATTGTGGGGTGCAGGGCCTGGCTTGTATTGGTGTGTGGCCAGGCCAGGTGGCAGTCTACATACCCAGCTTACTCTTGGGCCCACTTGGACGCGCTGGCAGGAGGCCTGGGTCTCATCAGCAAGAGCGCGTGCAAGCTGGGAGGGTCGATCCATTCCAGACCCACATCCTGGAGCACCCCCATCTCCATGTGTGAAGTAGCTTTCTCCCTCAGCCTGCAAGGGTCCGATTTGCCATCGAAAGACGACCTCTACTTTTTTCTTTTGTATTTTGATAAACACTGAAGAAGCTGGAGCTGTTAAATTTATCTTGGGGAAATCTCAGAACTGGTTTATTTGGTGTTGTGGAACCTCTTACTGCTTTCAATACACAATTAGTAATCAACTGTTTTGTATACTTGTTTTCAGTTTTCATTTCGACAAGCACTGTAATTATAGCTATTAGAATAAAGTCTCTTAACTATTTGATGGGCTTGTGTGTCAGTGTCACTACTGCCAGGCTGCCTCCTAAGAGAGCCCTTTTAATGTGAGAGAAAGCAGGTACTTTCTGAGTCGTGGTAGAAGTCAGTGAGACCTGGGTGTCTTGGCTCCCCTCATGTCTCAGGGTTACTATCAGCCTCCGTGCTTTGTGATAACTGAGGTGTGCCACTTGTCCCTTTAGTAGGCAGCCAGTCTTGGTGTGGTACGTATCTCTGGGTGGGTGTGGCTACTAGGAGATCCAAAGTCTACCATCATGAATGGGCCTTCTGCCTAAGTGGATAGACCTTCACCCCCTTTGAGTGCTGTTTTAGATAACTAATCTTCACTTGTGCTTAGGTGGCCACCTTCAGGACACAGGTCAACATACAAGCCACAGCTTGAGTCTCAGAACACTTTGAGGTCTGCCCAACAGTACACACACCCAGTATATATAGCTTTATAGTCAGAAGAGAACTTGCTATATAGATTCAGCCCAATTTCTACTGTCTGCCATGTGTTCACACAGGCTCTAAAATTGTTCTTATTTGTCTGCTGAACACTGTCTCTGCCTAGGTAGGAACCAGACTGTGTTGGGGGAGTTCCTGCAGAAATAAACTCTCAAACAAGATTTATGTATTTCAGATGAAGGTACCGGAGACGAAAGGCAGATTAAAGATAGGTGCTGACACTCTGAATCAAACCTGCTGCAGAAATCTGCAGAACTCTCCCAGCAAGAATGTACCTCTTGGACAGACAGCAGATGCATTCACATCCACAAGTTTGTTCTTCCAACTTCCTGGCCATTTGTATGGTCTGAAGGCAGCCTCAAACGCAGGATTCTGGTTCCTAGACTCAGTGGCCTCAGGCATACTGGATGGATACCCCGTGCTGGGGCCACAGGCTCCCAGCCTGACCTTCCTGCCCTCAGTGAGATGATACACTCTACTTTTAAAATACATTTACTTATGTACAAAGTGGGTTGATACAAAAAGTAGAAGTAACCAGATGTACACACAGACACACCCCTAAACCTCAAGAGCCTGGACTGTGGCAGCAGAGACAGGAGTCTGACCTTAGTCTCCTGGGCAACTATATCTTCTTTGGCATGGGGGCAAGCAAGGGCACTACCCTCAGAATCACTAGGTTCTGGTCACCCAGGTCCTACTCCTCAGCAACCTGGAGTGGTTGCCACAGCTGCCTCCAAATGGCAAGATAGATTCCCAAGGTCCAGCGAGCTTGGCTCAGAATCCTACCAGGGAGTAGCTACCTGCCTTACCCCAGAAAGGGATGTTGGTTAGTTAGGGCAAGTAGGAAGGGGGCTGGTAGCCACTTGGCATCCAACCACTACTCTTTATAGACCCTACAGAGCTTGGTGATGGGCAGGGTCCCGCTCAGGGCAACCAGGGCTCTGGTGTCCTTTGATCTAGTCAATTCTCAGTCATCAGAGCCTCTGTCTTGTCGTCTGCGAGATGGGCTCCTTCCACTGTCCTGGCTATGTCCCCGCTTCCTCTTAGAGCAGGGGGAGAAGTCAGAATCATGTCTCTGGTGTATGGGCCTAGGAAGACAAGGACAACCAGACACTTGAAGCGTCTCTCACTGCCAAGGATCCCAACAGGCCTGGTCAGCTCTCCCACCTCCCCACTACTTCCTTAGTGCCCCCCAAATAGAGTTGGGCCTAGCCTACCAAGCAGGAGAGGGAGATGATGGGCAGCTGTCAGTCTCCCTTTTGTGTTCTTTGTCTTTCTTCTTCTTGTGTTTCTTGTGTTTCTTCTTCTTTTTCTTCTTTTCTTTCTTGCTTTTCTTATGGCTCTCTGTACTGTAAGAAAGAACAAAGGGTCTAAGTGTGAAGGACTGGAGTCTGCCAGCTGAGAGCAGCTGAAAGCTGAGGGCAGGGCAAGGATAGGATAGCGCAGGGTCTGTACCATAGCACCGTACACTGATAATGTCTATCTGTTGTGAGTTTATACTAGTAAGTAAGCCTAATATTAGGCTCCTCATCCAACCCACAAGGCTAAGCTTCCCTTTGGAATGTTGCCAACCTGGGCGTGTCGTCGTCTCTCCCCCACCCTTTAGGGAGAGCCAGCTTCTCACTATAAAGCCTTGTCTGATCCGGAACTCTGTATTTTCGTAAGTACAAAGTTGAGATGCCACAAAAGTAGAAGTAACCAGACAGAGACACACAGCTAAATCCCAAGGCCTGGAAGCAAGCTGGCGGGAACTCTCGTGTCAGCCTGCCTCTGTCCACCAAGTGCTAGGATTAAAGAAAAGCACCACTGCTCCTAGCATCACACTTTAACTGCTCCACCTTCCATCAAACTGGCTGGCATCAGGACCCTGTCTGAGTGGCACCTTCCTGTTGGGTCACTAATGGCAGCTACTGAAACTCCAACCTACTTTCAGGTTCCTGGGCATCTGAATGGACAAGCATATCCAGTCTGGAGGTGGAGGCCCAACAATTTCAGTAAAGCCAAAAGAACTAAGGCTGTGCTTGGCTCCTTCAAAAAAGGGAGGCATTCAGTCTCCCAGTACAATATCTATGGGTCTGGACATCATTCTCTTCTGTGAGTACACTCTTTCTGAAGTGTCCCCATACCCACGCTTGGCACAGCTCACATAGGATGCCAGCGAGAAACTCATCAGTGCATAACACAGGTAGAACAGACACTCAGACTCACTCCAGTTCAGCCTTGTCCTCAGCACGAGGCTTCTTCCTGGCAGCAGATGGGGCGGTGCTTGGGCCTTCGCTGTCCACGCGGTGGTGCTATATGAGAAGCGCAGCTGTGGGGAGGGACACCCAGCACCCATGGAGTCCCACCCCACACCTCCCCAGACACCCAAGCCCAGGATCCTGAGCATCGGGATTTACAGGGTTTACCGTGAACACTGACAGTCCAAGCTTGGCAGCCTCTTTGTCTTCCCGGGATAGTGCCACACGGCCTGCGGAGCCACTGCAGAAGACAGAGCAGTGAGGACAGTTCTGGACCACCGCCCAGTCTTGCCCCCTTTTACCCAACCCGCCGCACCTGGAGCTGCCCAGACCCAGCAGCCGGTCCACGCCCTTCTCTTCAGGGTCACCTCCTTCCCGTTTGCAGATCTCCACGAAGTCCTGAGGAAACGGTGCGGGTGGGGGGGTGGGGTGGTTCTAGGCTGGTACAGATAGAGCCCCGCCCGCCCTGCGGACCCCAAACCCGCAGTCCAGACTCACTTCCTTGCTCAGGCCGGTGGGCTGTTTCCTCACGTTCTTGTAACCGCTGCGAGGGTCGAGGGTGCACGTCAAGGGGCATGCGCCCCGGAGGCCTTCTACCCCGGCCCTGCCCACATCTAGCCCCGCCCCGGGGCCACCCAGTTCCCTCCCCGGAGCTCGCAGTCGCCCCGCAGCCCAGGCACTCACAGTGCGGCTAGCAGCGCCTCGCGCTCCGCCTCACGCACAGCCGCCAGCTCTTCCTCACGGCTCGGGCCGGCACACGGCGCGCGGTCCTTCGCGTACCAGGTGAGGTCGCGGCCCTTCTGCCAGCGGCCCACTGGCGCCATCAGCGAGTTGCCTAGGTAGTTCTCCCTCTGCTTGTCGGTCTTCACATCCTCCCAGTTGAACTGGTCCTGCCCGCCACGCACGCCGCCGCGACTGGAGCCGAACATGGCGTCGGAGCCGCTGCACAATCTCCAGTACCCGCAGCCCCGAGCTGCCGGGCTCCCGCACCTCTCGGCCCCCGGATGCCCGCCTTGACGTCACACGCGCGCCTGCGCCTCTCACTAAGTGTCCGCGCGCCTGCGCACTGCCTGATTCGGGCCACCTCAGAGGAGGTCCATATTTCCACCCGGTGTTAAGTCAGTACTTCACCCATAGGCGCATCCTTTATCCCATTACGACGTGCGGCTGCGCACTAGCTTCTCGAAAAAAGGGGTGCTGTGCGACCTCACGTGTTGATCCTCGGTGAATTGGGATGACAACAAAAACCTTGGTGACACCAGGAGGGACCGGGGAGGGACGCCGCGGGTCTTGTGCTTGGCGCCTTTCCTCCTGGAGAGCCAGGCCTACTAACCCTAAAGGACTGGGGTCCCAGGTAAAATAAAAGTGGCAAGTAAAATAGTGGCAAAACTCCCGGGAACACTGAGGGACGGATAAAGTCGCCAAAGAAACACAGACCAACTCCTCTGTGGCATGAAAGAGTTAAAGGCCATAAAGCCCAAGCAATCAGCCCTAAACCAGAGCAACCTGTGTTCTCTGCAGGTGAGACTTTACTGAGAAGTACGAAGAACAGAGCTAATTGCTTTTTTTTTTTTGTTTGGTGAGGCATGACCAAGACAAAAGTCAAGAGTAAAGTTCGTTGAAGATAGATTTAGCTGTCATTTGACCCTAAATCATTAGTTGAAACTGGCAGACAATGAACGATCAAGTCGATGTCTGGACTAAAGCTTAAATGATGAATTTTTCTGTATTATAGTGTTAGCCCTAACTGCCCGTAGTAGACTGTGTGGCAAACCACACCCTTACAAGTTGGTCTCGAAATCACAGAGATCCACCTGCCTCTGCCTCCTTGGTGCTGGTATTAAAGGCGTGTGCCACCATCACCCAGCTCCCATTGTCATATTTAAAATATTTAAATCTTCCACTAGGCTTGTTCTTGAAGGCTAGGCCATTGAGGTAACAAGATAGAGCCTCACAGATTAGTGCTCATATGAAGGGAGCCCTGGAGAATTCTCTTGCCTTCTGGCACTTGAGTATAAAATGAGATGTCGACTGGCGAAAACCCAGAACAGATCCTTTGTCTGAACTCAATAGAACGCATCTGGATGATTTAAGGGCGGTGAGGTTCTTTTGTTTGTGTTGGGGTTTCAATTAAGGTTATGTGAGGATAGAATGAATTTGATATGAAAATGGAAACATCCCATGTTGCTATTTCTCAAAAAGGGAATTTGGAATGTCAACAAATGTGGGAAGGAACACAAAAATGCCTGGGACCTTCCTCAGCTTCTACCGAACAAGGAAAATGATGTTCCTATACCTCAGATATTCTTCTGAAGACAATCATTGTTGTGATTTCGATAGCCTTGAACATGTTGGCCTGAGAAGCAGGCTCCTGTAAGCTGCAAATTTGTAACTCTTATTATCAAAGGAGGTGGGAAAAAAAGCAAGCCTTGTCATGCAGCTTGCCTTAAGCCCCTCCGTTTCCAGTTCTCCCATATTAATCAGGAGAGGCAACTTGGCTAATGTCTCCAGTTTGTTTTTGAGATAACTGTGTACCCCTGCTGGCCTCAGAGAGATCCACCTGCTTCTTCGTCCCAAGGGCTGGCCACCACACCTCACCCTAGTATTTCTTTAGGGATCTATCTAGAGAGCAGTTGGATCAACTCCCTAGTGAGAACTCCTTTGTCACTGCTTTTGGGGAAACGTCACATATTCTACAAGACAATACATATATAAACTCTGCAGCTGTGAGAATAAATTACTATTTATAAAGTACCCAAGGCTGGTGAGATGGCTCAGAGGGGTATGGGCCAAGCCTGGTGAAGCAAGTTTGATCCCCAGGACCCACATGGTGGAGAGAACCAACTTCCACAATTTGTCCTCTGAACACACACATACCATAGAGTATATCCCACCCTGCTAATGAAAGTACCCCGTCTGAGCTAGGCCTGGTGGCAAGAGTGTAGTCCCAGTTCCCTAGAAGGCTAAAGCAGGGAATTTGGAAGTTCAAGGACTGCCTAAACTTACAAAGAGATTTGAAAGCTAGTCTGGGTAATTTAGCAAGGTCCTGCCTCAACATAAACTGGCACTCTCTGGGATCCCAAATAGACCTGAACAGCTCCACTTTTGCTTGCGTCTTTATTCTGAATACATGCTGAGTATCTGCAAACAGCTTGTGAAGCATCTAGTACAAGCCCTGAGTTCATGTCCTGGCTTTGGAGGGCATAGTTGGAACCAGATCCCTCAGAACAAGATCACACAAGGATAGGATGGATGGCATGGATGGACCCAAGGGAGGCTGCACAATAAGGGAGCAGCAGACAAGTCATGTGGGCCACAGTGAAAGAAGAGCAAACCAGTCATCTCTCTCTCCCAGAGAAGCTCTTCAGAAAGCAAGGTAGCAGCTTCTGAGGCCCTCACCATTGGCCAAGTATGCTAAGGACACAGAAGGCTGAATTGCACTGTCTGAGCACAGAATGCATACTAGGTGAAGCTAAGAGGAACATGGCTATAGGGCAGGGAGGATATGGGACAAGTTTCCAGACCAGTTCCAAGCTTGTGCAGCCTTGACTACAGCCATGAAAGTCTGCTTTTGAAGTTAGATACTATGTGCACTCTTGCATCTGGAGGCCGCCAATGGAATTTTAAATCAACATCAAGATGTACAAAGGTTCAAGCAGCTGTTTATAGGTTTTAGTTTCTGTGGCCAGTTATTCTGCAGACTGGAGTAGACTAGGGGTTCAAGACACAGCCTGGCCAGTGGTGGTGGCACACTTCTTTAATCCAGGAGACAGAGGCAGATGGACCTCTGAGTGTGAGGTCAGCCTAGTCTACAGAGGAAGTTCCAGGACAGTCAGAGAGATACACAGAGAAAGTCTGTCTCAAAAACAAACAAAGACACACAACTTGGCCACACTCCTGGGTCCCCTAGGGCAGGAAAGTGTTTCTCCCTGGGAAGCCTTTCAGGGAAGGACCAAAAAGTATGGGGCTGAGAAAGTTCACTGCAGACCATGTGTGATCTAGGAGTTAAACTTGGGTTCCTAGGGGTAGGCAGGTAGAGCTGCTAGCGGCTGGGTGCTTCCTGTCCACTGCCCATATACTTCACAACTAACCTTTTAGCAGTGTTTAAAACCCAGAGGTTTGAAGCTGAGTGTGATGGCATATACCTTTAAGCCCAGTACTCAGGAGGCAATGTCAGGCCTGATCTACATATAAATTATAGACCAATCAGGGTGAAACTTTGTCTTAAAAAACAACCCCCCCCAAAAAAATCCACAGATCTGACCAAAATGAATCCTAAACCCACTAATCTGTCCTAACTCCAGAGCCTTTCAATCTCAGGGCCGAGCGTACACACAGAAGAAGACAGTGACAGGAGGCTATGGTTTCAAGAATGTATGATTTACAAACAGAAGCCTCCCATCCTTACAAAATGTCACTGGTGTGACTCCCTGACACAGTTACTTCTTGGTCTTGGTCCAAAACCGTTTGTATCGTTCAGTGTCAAAAGTGTCAATCATCTCTGGCTCTTCTTCCTTCTTCTGCAGGAGCTGAGCCTCACGTTTTCGGAACCGGACCCTGCGCTCTTCTGGAGATAGGGCATCCAGGTCTAGGGGCATCTGCATGGGGAGAAGTGAAGGCATTCACCATTGGGGAGAATCAGGAAAGTGACCGGGAAGACACCTTTTACACGGCTGTGCCTTCTATCCTGTGCTGGCCTACTAATTGGTTAGTCAAATCTGTAACTTTTGTTTGGAAAGGAAATGTTTCTCTACTCCTTTCCCCTAGATTTAGTGTATGTTTGTTTAAGACAGAGTTTTAATTTGTACAAAAAAGCATCGGACTCACAGCCATCATCCTCAGCTTCCAGAGTGCTGCAATTGCAGATTTGTGCCACCATACCTGGTTTTATGTGGTCCTGGAACCAAAGGCTTTATGCCTCTTAGGCAAGCATTCTACCAACTAGAATACACTCCAGCCCAGATTTAGTGTTTTTTGTTGTTTTTTGTTTTTTGTTTTTTTTTTTTTAAACAGACTTGTTAAGCCTGCGTGGTGACACAGGCCTATAATCTCAGCACTTAAAGAGGCAGGAAGATTGGAGGTGAAGGTGAGCCTCAGTGTGTAAGTTCAAAGCCAATCTGGTTTTCATAAGGCCCTGTACAAATAAAACAAGAACAAAACCCAAACAGGAAATGGCTCATTCGTTTGTTCTAATTTTGATGATTGGAGTTTTTGGTGTAAATTCCTCCAACAACTTGTTCCCCTCCTCTTCCACTTTAGCTACATATGCAACCCCAATCCCAAATTCAGGCACTGAGCCTCAACACTATGGCTCAGCAAACACCTATTGAAGGACGCTTACCACTAGCATGCGCCGTGGCTCCCGGTATCGGATATGGATGGTGGAACCGTCCTGCTTGACCAGTAGCACAGGATAGAGGCGAGCATAGGCCTGGCGGCGCAGTCGAGTAAGTGAAGCCCTGCTGCTGTCAGCTCTCCACGAGGAGGTGTGTAGGTGGCAGGGTGCAGGAGTGGCTGCCCTCACAGCACAGTGCCTCAGCAGGCTACAGACAGACATGCAAACATTGGTTGATGGATGGTGCTGAGCCAGATGGCACCGAGTACCCAGCCAGCCAGCCACTGTCAGGGTAGGACAGAGAACCGCCCAGCAATCAAACACTAGCAAGGATTGATGATTCACATTTAGAGGGGCCTCTGCTGAGCTATTAGCATCATCAAAACCGTCTACAGTGGGTGGCTCAGGAGGACAACAAGCCTCCTAGCACCAGGACAGGGGTAACAGCCCCTGCCTGGAGAGAACAGGGATGTACCTGAGGGGACTGGAATTCCATGCTTTCCCAAGCAGGCTGCCCAAAGGCATTGTTTTTCCTTGGAGCTGTTGTGGCACGAGGAAACAGTCACTGGCCCAGATGTAGGATCTGTTAGGCAAGGAAAAAAAAAAAGAACTTGAACTTTTTTCCTTGATTATTGTTCTAAAATCCTTGCCTGGAGCTAAGTCAGAGCCAGGTACACCTCTAGCAGCAATCTGCTTGTGGCTCTGCGTTCACTGGTTCCGGGAGTTCCCTACAGATACACTGACACTGTCAGCTCTTTGCTGTACAATGGCACAGTATTTGCATATGACCTGTCACTGGTTCCCATGTGCCTTAAATCACTTAGAATACCTAAAAGTATTCAAATACAAAGTCAGGTGTGGACATGCCTGCATTTCCAACACTCTGGAGGCAGAGGCAGGAGGATAAGGAGTTCAAGATTATCCTGTTACATAGGGAGTTAAAGGTCAGGCTGGGTTGAGACTGTCTCAAAAAACCGAAGCAAACAACCTGAGAGTATACACAACCCATATAACACTTACTAAATGAGGCTATGTTCAATATAGCCTCAATTAAAAAACGTATCTTCAATCTGTAGTTTGAGTTCTCCGTGAAAGGTCAGGCGTGAGAGCGCAGTGTCACTTGCCAGTCTATCCTACTAGCTCTCTGGCCTCAGATTAGAACAGCTTGTGGAGGCTTTCTACAAAACGCGTCCTGTCCTCCAAAGACTGAGTCCATTTCAGCAGGACCAACGCCCACCTATTTCTGAAGGTTATGGAGTCGGAGCCTCACCCTGTGCGGTGTATGTGTGTGTGTGTGGTGCTTGGTTCTTTCTTATGAAAATCGTTTTAGTTTTCATAACAAAACGGTGAGGTGATTATTATCAAATCTGATTACAGACCGGAAAAGAAGCTCGGGCTACTTTCTCCAATGCCACAAACTCCCAGAGTAGTGTAAGCAGGCGGGAAGTTGAGTGTCCTACACTCAGTAAGATTAAATCAGTGAGAGAGTGCATAGATTAGGAGGTTCCCAGTGCCTCGAAAGAAGCGATCCCGCTGGTCAGTGTCCCAAGTCCGGGCCTCCTGCTCTCTAGCCACGACGACAAGGCTCGGGGTCATGTGCGGAGAAGCCCCTTTCTGTTCGCCCTACATGACGGTGTATGTCGCCCTCCCTTTCACTCGTCAGTGATGGGGCCGGTTGCTGCCGACGCCCAAGAGACTCCAACCTGCGGCCGCCACCTTAGTGTCGGAGGGACCTCGTAGACCCGCCCTGCAGAACTTTACTCAGAAGGTGGGAAACCACGCGGGTGTCTCTGTATACGATGATGGACCCCTGTCCGCGACCCAGTTCTTTCGCAGGCGCCGCGGCGCGCGGCGATGACGTCACAGAGCGCGGGGCTGACGTCCTCCGTTAAGGGCGGAGTAAGCCCAGGTGGGCGTGGTTGAGACTGACGGAAGCCTGTTTAGTTGTCCAGGTACGCCGGATGGGGCTTACCCTGCATTGCTATGGGTGGCAAAGCCGCTGTAGCAAAGGCTGGCGCATTGCACTAGGCGGAAGGCGGTCAGGACTCTGGGACTTTCTAGGGTGCAGGCTGCATGGCTCTGTGCAGTGCGCGGATGAAAGCAGGACAGCATTGCTGCTGTGCGACCTTGACATCTAAGTTTCCACGCCTGGTTGTTTTCCAGGTTTGCTCCGGATCCGATGGTCGCCCACAGACCCCTTTCTCTCGGCCCATGTCTGGAAGACGGACTTTCAAGCGCCAGGTCGGAATTCAAGATCAGCTTGGTCTACATAGTGAACTCAAGGCCAACCGAGGGGCTAAATAACCCTGACTCAAAAACAAACAAACAAACAAACAAACTTAAAGAATTGTTATAAAGTGGGCAGCACATCTGAATTGAGCATCAGTTCCCTCACAAAGAGCTGTTTTGGAGAGCTTTGAGTAAGAAGGTGATCTAAATCGGGCGGTGGTGGCCCATGCCTTTAACCCAGCACTCGGGAGGCAGAAGCAGGTGGATCTTTGTGAATTAAAGGCCACCCTGGTATACCAAGTGAGTTCCAGGACCAGTTTCAAAGCTTCCCCCACCTCAACCTTGAACAGACAACAACAACAACAACAACAACAACAACAAAAAAGTGATCTAGAGGGACAATTGTTACACTGTGTCTGTTGTGCCAAAAAGGAGAGAGAAATCAACTATGGGCTCCTGAAACAGTAAAGTCTTTAATAAAGTGCCACACAAGCAAGGTCTCTAATCAATCATGGCTGGGAGACAAGAACTCCAGAGCTTTGTTTGTCCTGACAGCCCCAAGCGGGGATGAAGCAGGATTGATAGGCACAAAAATCACACCTGTGCCAAGTTAAAATTTTCACCAATCAGGAATTAAAGATTAGAGGCTTTCCCTGTGTGTTCCATCATTGTCAAGGGACATGGAATGTAAGCTTTCCAGTCCAACCAATCTGATTCATTTGTTCCTTTTGTTGTTAGGAATAGTCATAATGTTTTTAGAGAACTAAAGATGTATAACAGACTATTTCTATTGTTTAAGGAGGAGTTGGTCTTGGGAACTTGGACTTTGTTTCAACCTGCAGGTAAAATGGAAGCTGAAGTCAAAATGACTGTATTTAGGACAAGGTGTTTTTGCCTGTTCCCTGCACAGTAAAGGAACTGCAAGTAAAATCCTTAAATAAAAATGAACTGATTTTACAATCATTATCTTTATCTAATTTTACTTTTTGTTTTGTTTTGTTTTGTTTGTGTTTTTGGAGACAGGGTTTCTCTGTGTAGCACTGGCTGTCCTGGAACGCACTCTGTAGACCAGACTGACCTCCAACTCACAGAGTTTCTCCTGCCTCCACCTCCCAAATGCTGGGATTAAAGGTGTGTGACACCACTGCCTGGCCCGAATTTTTACTCTAAATTTAGGGAAAAGAAAAAAAAAAAAACAAAAGAAACCAAAAATCTTTACTCAGAGGAAAGGAAGGGAGCGAGGAGGGAGGGAAACGGAATATTCTCTAGAAAGGTGGAATGAACCTACTCTTGTCCCACCGCCTTCTAGATGTGACTTCTAGAAGGCTGAATGGGTGGCTAACTCAGCAGAAGTAGTTCGGGAGGGCATTCAGGAACTGGCTTGCTGGTTTTTAATTGGTTTCTCCTAGACTGAAAGACAAGAGGAATTCTAAAGGATTTGGAAAGATTGGGAAAATTCTCAGTCTGAGCAAGGAAAGAACAGAAATAAGCATGGGTAAAAGGCACGGAGAGCTGTGCATCAGGATACTGGAGACCAAGGTTCAGCAGCTGCCCTCCAAGCTGCCTTATCTCAAGCAGCAGGACTCTTCTTCCTTCCAGGTCTCTGGTCCCAAAGACACTCAGGACAAAAGGTTACCTGTGGTGCCTGTTGTCATACAAAATGCATGCTGGCCTCACACTGTCTCAGCATCACAAGTACCTGTGACAGAATTCTCAGTGCTGGTACCCTGGCTCCTCCCTGCTCTTCTCACTCCTGCCTCTCCAGCCCAGGGGCTCTCTTCTCTGTCCTATAAAAACTTCCCATTTTGGTCACAATTTCTCTTGGTCTTCTGCTCTTGACTCTTTGTCCTCTCTCTTGCCCCTCTCTTTCCTCTTTCCCTCTTACTCCCCCCTCAACCCCTCTCATAGCCTGATTCAGTCTGCTGGTCATGTTTAGTCTACTACTCCTCTCCCTGCTCTGGACCCTTCCAGTTGCCTCTGGCTTTATTCTCCCACTTGTATACAATAAAAACCATCTCCTTAGTCTTCTGCTCTTGGCTTCTGATCCTCTCTGTTGCCCCTTTCTCCGCTATTTCCCTCTTAACACCCCACCACCACGCTTCTCACAGCCTGGTTCAGTCTGCTGATTGTGTTGCGTCTTCTTTCTCTCCCTCGTCTTCCAGATGCCTCTAGCTGTACTCTCCCTCATATCTATAATAAAACCCTTCTCCTCAACCATACGGTCATGTCATTTTTATTCACCAGGAAACTGCAATTTACACCTTGCCTGCCCTGGAAATTCTAAACTGTGGTGACTTGTCCTTGGGCTTCTGTTTGAGGCCATTCTTTGTCTTTGCGCCCGTTTGTGCTGGTTTTCACCTTTTATTAATAAAAATAAGAATGTTCATAGGGTACACTGATTTCCCAGGTACCACATGATGGTTCTCCTAAGACTCCTCGGTATTTCTAGTAACATATCTTTCCAGCTTTTTAATTCTTCTTAAAATTATGTATGTATATGAGTGTTTTGTTTGCATGTGAGTCTGTGCACCATGTGCGTGCCTAGTGCCCTTGAATGTCCTGGTACTGGGGTAATACGTGGTTCTGAGACACCGTATGGGTGCTAGGAATTGAACCTGGGTCCTCTGACAGGCAGCGCTCTTAACAACTAAGTCCTTTTTCCAGGTCCCACCCCTGCCTTTTAGTTCTTTAATTGACAGAGGAAATTAACCTGTTCCTGAACTCCTAGATGGCCCCTAGAGTAGGGATGCCAGAAAAGTAGAGCCAACATCAGCGTGTGTGATGCCAGCCATGGCCCCACGTGGACTGCAACCAGTCACACTGTGTGGGGAGGAGAGCCTAGGGCCACTCCCACCCTTGTGTGTGCATGATGCCACACCCAGAGAATTTAGCAGTTGCCCTGATGCTCTTCAGGATGCTCTTAGGACAAAGCATTCTTCCTCCTGGTGTGGGAGTGTTTAACTTGTGCCTGCCTCACCATCCTTCGGAGGGGTTTGTAACTTGTTTACGGGAGCCTTCAGTCTAGGGGAAGAATTTGGACTTGGACTTTTGAGCAATGTCTTGCTTAGGGTTAGTATTACTATGATGAAACACCAAGACCAAATCCAAGATGGGTTGGAAAGGGTTTATTTGGCCTACACTTCCGCATTGTAGTCCATCATTGAAGGGACCAAGACAGGAACTCAAAACAGGGCCAGAACCTGGGAGCTAATGCAGAGATAGGGGTGGGGGAGTGGGAGGAGTGAGGGGGTAGTGCTGCCTACTGACTTGTTCCTTGAGGCTTGCTAATTCTGCTTTCTAATAGAACTCAGAACCATCAGCCCAGGGATGGCTCCATCCCTCCGCCATCAATCACCAATTAAGAAAATACCCCATAAGCTTGCCTACAGCCTGATCTTATGGAGTCATTTCCTCAACTCCTTCCTCCCCTTTCTCCAGCCTGTATCAAGCTGACACCGACACCAGCCAGCACAGCAACCCTCATTGGAACTCAGCACTGGTTAAAAACATGAGAAGCCAGTTTCTACACTGGAGGGCCTACACAGAGTCCCTATCCTAGCACATCTTGTGACTTGGAGTTCCTGTTCTAGAACTTATCAGCCTCTCAAGCACAAAGAACCTTGTGTGTCCCTTGTGGAAATGGGGCGTGGTGGCAGGATGCTGTCTTTACAAGTGTGCCCTTCTGAGTACTAATTTTGCTTGGGGGGAAGGGCCCTGCCTCAGTTGTCCTACTCACCAACAGGGGCCTTGGTTGCGTGAGCATTCACTTGGAACTGGTGGCTCATTGTGGTGATGATCTTGCCTATTATCCACTTGCCTTTCTGTAGGCTACTCATTTGGAAACAGATAGTCACCTTCTCCCTCCCTAATCCCCCTCTGAGTGTGTGTGTCCTCACACACCCATGTCTATGTTTATGTAAATGACAGATCAGCATCAATTGTGTCTCCTCCATCAACCTCCTTTACTTATCTTTTGAGTCACTGGACCTGACTTCAGGTCCTCTATGGTACCTCAAGGCCATAAATATGCCCAGGCCCTGATAAAGGTGTTCAGGTTTTGTCCAGAGTGTGAAAGAGAAGTGACCCAGGCCCAAGCCACATTCATTCAATCCTCACATAAACTTCACATTCTGACTTCCTCTCTCATGACATTATTCCTGTCGCTTGTGGTCTCTCTGGAAGCACACAAACATTCTAGTGAGCTCCAGTAGGCTGGCTCGACCTGGGGCAGGTTTTGAAATTGCAGCTGACCAATAAGGAAGCTCGGGTACGAATATGGGGATAGGTTTTGCCTACTGTGGGCAAGGGGTTCAAGTTAGAGGCAAAATTATAGCTGCAAATGCCAAATTAGAGCTGCAAAATTACATGGCCAATGTGGAAAGACACCAGTCCATGAAAAGAAGTGTTTGGGTTTTATTTTTAAATTACATTGTATTTATTTATTCTGTGTGTGTGTCTGTGTGGGGTGCTCATGTACCATGATGCACACGTGACTATCAGAGGCTAGTCTGCAGGATGAGCTCTCTCCTTTCATCGCATGGGTTTCCGGGAGCAAAAGCAGGTAGTCAAGCCTTGCAGCAGGCACCTGTATCCTTGAGAAATATCCTTGGCTCCTCAATTTCTTTTTATTTATTTCAGTGTTTGCTGTTTTGTTTTGTTTGTTTGTTTGTTTTTCAGACAGGGCCTCTCTATGTAGCCTTGACTATCTGGAACTTGCTACATAGACAAAGCTAGATTGGAATTTACTATATAGCCTAAGCTAGCCTTGCCTTCCTGACAATATTCCTGTCTCAGATTCCTGAGTGCTGGGATTATAGGTGTGAGCCACCAAGTTTTGTTACTTCTTGGCTGGTTCTTTTGAAAAGCAGGCTGTGGCAGGGGCCGTGGTGGGTGAAGTGCAGCACAAAGAAAACAGTGAAGAGCAGAGGACTACTCCCCCTCCCCCCTTCCTCCTTTTCTGGTTTAAAGCTGTGAGTTTTTTTATTTTTTTTTAATAGTCTTGCTGGGTGGTGGCGGCGCACACTTTTAATCCCAGCACTTGGGAGGCAGAGGCAGAGAGATCTCTGTGAGGGAGATCTCTGTGAGTTCGAGGCCAGCCTGGTCTACAGAGTGAGTTCCAGGACTGGCTTTATAGCTACTGGGAAACCCTATCTCAAAAAAACAAAACAAAACAAACAAACAAAACAAAAACAAATTGTCTTATAGGGGCTGGAGAGATGGCTCAGAGGTTAAGAGCACTGGCTGCTCTTCCAGAGGTCCTGAGTTCAATTCCCACTAACAAGATGAATCACAACTATCTATAAGAGGGAAGATCTTGTTCCCTCTTCTCGTGTGCAGACATACACACAGGCAGAACACTGTATACATAATAAATAAATAAATAAATCTTTTTTTAAAAAAATGGCCTTATATGCTGGACTTGGTGATTCACTCCTAGGCAGGCAGATCTCTGTGAGTTCAAGGTCAGCTTGGTCGACGGAGTAAGACCTTGTCACAAGTCACAAAATTAGGTAAGTAAATAGATAGATAAATAAATAGCCCTATCCTTTTCCCCCTCCACTCTCCAACCTGTAACATATTTAAGACATATCCAAATTCTCTTTTTTTGTCATTGTACTTAAAGCAATTTTTGGTTCCCAAATTGAGACAGCAGACAGAAGCTCAGATGGTGGAAATGAGTTTCAGGATTTAGTGATAGGTTCAGTGGAGAATAGAAGACACAGCTAAGTTCCCAGAGCCTCATAAACTCAAGGGCAACCTGCCAGCAGGTGTGTGGTGCCCTCACCACCTGCCCGTCCCCCCAGACTCAGCTATAATCAAGCTTTCCTTGGTGTTCCAGCTCCCGAATAATGACACTGAGACTTCTTATTAATTACGAAAGTTTTGGCCTTAGTTTAGACTTGTTCCCAAGTAACTTTTGAAACTTAAATTAACCTGTTTATATTAATCTACATTTTGCCACATGGTTTGTTACTGTTGTGCCCAGTCCATGGGGTCCCCAAAAGACCACCAGGGAGACTGACTCCCTGACATGCAGAAGCAAGGTTTATTATGGTAATTGCAGGCCGGCCTGGACCTCATTAGCACAGCAGCGAGAGAGGAGGTGTCCCACCCTTCTAGAGAGCATTATTTAAAGGCAAAGGCCAGGAAAGTTACATTCACAGGGTTTGGGGTGATTGGTTGAATCCTGATTGACTTGGGCTTAGGGACTTTTCACAAATTTTTATTTTCTAACCTCACCCTCACCCGTTGCTAGTCAAGTTTTCTTATTGACTGACCTTCGGGTGGGATCATTCTCTGGTTATCTGTACTTTCCAGGTGGCTACCCTGCTACTTTTGTCTCTAGCCGTTTCTGAGAACTGGAATGTTTTATGGAAAATAGCTTACACAAGACGTTAGGCGAAGGTAGAGGACAAAATGGAGGAACTTTGGTTCTTCAGTGAGTACTTTTTTGTTGTTGTTGTTGTTGTTTGGGAAAGGGTTTCTCTGTGTAGCTTTGGAGCCTGTCTTGGAACTTGCTCTGTAGACCAAGTTGGCCTCGGACTCACAGAGATACTCCTGCCTCTGCTGCTGGAGTGCTGGGATTAAAGATGTGAGCCATCACCGTTCAGCTTGTGCACACATTTAAATTAATTAATTAGGTTCTTTCAAGATGAGGTTTGCCCTGGTTGTTCTGGAACTCCCTTTGTAGACCAGGCCAGCCTTGAACTCACTGAGATCCTCTTGCCTCTGTCTGGAGTGCTGGGATTAAAGACATTTATTTACTTATTTACTTTTCATCTTCTTGGTTTTTCGAGACGGGTTTCCTCTGTAGCTTTGGAGCCTGTCCCCCGGAACTAGTTCTTGTAGACCAGGCTGGGCTTGAACTCACAGAGATCCACCTGCCTCTGCCTCCCGGTGCTGCGATTAAAGGTGTGCGCCGCCACCACCCAACAAAAAGCATGTTTTTTAATCCTACCATTTGGTATGGTAGAGGCAGGTGGCTCTCTGGGAACCTGTCAGGACTACATAGTCTATATGTGTATGTGCATGAGCCTGCGAGCAGGTGCCTGAGGAGACCAAACACCGTCTGAGTCTGGGAACTGAACGGGAACCTGGTTCCTAAAAGGTAACCGGATAATGCGAAGACGTGACTCAACGGACTCGATGCTGATTTCATTTTTTTTTTTTAATTTTATGTCATTGGCGCTTTGCCTGCATGTTTGTCTATGTAACTCCTCAGACCGGAGTTACAGACAGTTGTCACCCGTCATGTGAGATCTGGGAATTGAACCCAGGCCCTCTCTGGAAGAACTGTCAGTGCTCTTAAACGCTGAGCCATCTCTCCCGGCCACTTGATTTTTAAAGTGCTCCTCTTCGGGTCCTCTCTGTGGACAGGAGGGGTCTGAGCCTAGAAAAAAAGGGCGAACATGGAAGAAAACCATTCCTGATGACACAAGGACTAAGGGTGAAATGGGCGTGGTCTCCGGGGAGTACCACGCAATACGCCTGCGCAGCAGTGCGGCGCTCCCCCTCCCGCTGGCCCTCGCAGACCGACGCGCTGCTATGACGTAGTCCTGCGGCCGTGACCAGGCGGAGGTGATTCGGGTGGGCGGGGCCGGAGATGGTGACGTAATGTCGGCGGGCGGTGGTGGGAAGGGGGTTCGCGCTGGCGATTTTGCGCACTCCGTGTGCGCAGCAGTGCCGCGCTCCGGTAAGCCGTCGTGAGTCGGCGCGACGCTGTGACGTAGTCCTGCGGGCGGTCCCTGATGCTGCGGCGCCCGCTGGTCGGGCTGGCAGTGGCCGCCCTGGGTCGCGTCCCTGTGGACGGTGAGTGCGCTTTGCTGCTGAGGACTTGCGACCGCGAGCGTCCCTTGCGCGCTGCCTCCAATGACCCCTGCTCTTGTGAGGACGCCTGGTGAACGTGTTTTCCGGGTCCTCAGAACGACAGGGACAGGCACGTGGAGTCGCAGCCACCCACAAGCTGCCTGAGTCTAGCCGGTGCTCTTCCTCGGCGCCCTGCCCACCCGGCGTCCTGGACAGGTTCAAGCGCCTGGTTTTCCCCCTTCGCCATTGCCGTTGCTGGACTTCGGTGTCTGCAGGTGGTGCAGGCCCCGCTGACGCCTGGGTGTGGGTATTGGGATTCGGCCTGTCTCAGGTTGAGGTTTCTGGTGCCGCCTTTGGGCTTAATATCCCCAGGCATCATTTTATCCAACGTGGAAGTGGGCGGGGAAGCAGTGAGTGAGAAGGTTCCTTTAGGTGGTGGCTGGAGGAGGAGCAGGTGACATTAGCTACCTGAAGAGATTGGGAGAAAGCGAATAAATGACTGGTCAGCCTTGGTTAGGGTCCAAGGAGGGAAGGTTTGTTTCTGTGGGTACTCCAATTTACCTTTTGGGGATCATAGGTTAGTTATAAGAGCTACTACTAAGGCGGGTTCCAGTTTGGCACCAAGGAGCAGAATTTCCTGCTACTTTAGCCTGTCTACCCACGTTACCCCTGCCTTCACGTATTAGGCTTTTATGTTCCCGTAGATGCTAAATCAGCCATTGCTGCTGCTTGCCTGGCCTTCCTTGGTTCAGCGCTGGATCTCTGTCTAGGATGGGCAGCGGGGAGACTAGTAATTTTCTGGAGTAGTAAATTTGAGGCAGTATACTTCTCTTCAGCCACACTTAAACTTTCTTTTTGTACAAAATATCCAGAAAACATGTTGAGGTAATTTGAAGGAAGAGGCAGAAGGAGGTGTGGGAGGAGACAGCCCAGGCAACAAAGGAGAGGTAAAATGAGGGTGAGCCCTTGGTAGGCAGCTGTAGGAGGCAGGCTGCTTGCAGCATCCCTGGTCTTTCCTGCCCCACCCTGTCCCCATTCTTGCTGATCCTGATCATGGTGGTCCTCGGTTTCCACCGACCCTGCCTGCAGTAGACCTCACTGTCCCCTGCCCTATCTCCCATCCTTCCTGACTCTGCTTGCACTGGTCCCCAGTCTCCTCTGCCCTGCCCTACCCATCCCTTGCCTGCGTGTATTGGGCCTTAGTGTCCTTTGCCATACCTACCCCCCCCCATTCTCCCTGGGCCTACTGGGTGGGCTTCATCCACCCTTCAGTCTTGCCTGATCCTGTTTCCTTACTTTCCCTTCTACACAAGTGAGTAGTTGACAAGCCCTGCAACATCCTAGGTCTTAACATTTTGCTCTCCTTGGGTTCTGAACCCTTTTTTTTTCCTTTCATGTTCACTTTGCCTCATGATTATGGCATCCAGGACCCCATTCAAGATTCAGCCTGTTCTTTTTTGTCCTTGGTGGGAAGAGTCCCAAGCAGAGATGGGTAGCACCAGGAAGGTCCAGCAGCAGCCTGTTCGTGGTTGGCTGCTACTCTACCCTTCCTTCCTTGGGAGGCTGTGGTACGTCCATCTGGCTCAGGTAGAGGAATGAGCATGAAAATGCTTTGACTGCTCCTGGTGCTGCCATTGGAAGAGGCTCCTCAATTCTGGGGGCTTCAGGGCTGGAATGTGCCTAGTGCTGTTTATAGCTTCAGTGGACAGGAGGGATGTGGTGGTTGTGACAGATTTCTAGTTCTAGGGGCCCTAAGGTAAAGACAAGAAGAGGTTGTGCAGGAAGTTGTGTCTGGGGAGTGTTCCAGGAGAGCATGTTCCCTCCCAATGCTCCTGTGGAAATCACTTGTATCTTGGCTTGTCTTAGAGTTAGGGGCTTGGGGTTCTTGTTCAGGCAGTTGAAGTCTGGGGCTAGAAGAGCTAAAGAGATTGGGGTCTAAAGTTTCTCCAGTGGTCTCCCCAAAGGAAGTTGTCTTTGAGTAGCACACACTTCTATAAATGCTAGAGCAGAAACTAAATCTGTAGTTTCTGCTGTTAGCTGTGGCCCTGTGGAGATGTAGCGAACGCCTGGTCACCTGGCTGCTGACTAGAGTCCTCCATACTCCCCTTGCCAGGCCCAAGTGCCACTGTTGTACCACACAGCTAGCTAGCCAGGGTCATCTGGTAAGATCTGTGTAGATTCAAGCAAGTGTAGTGTCATCGAGGGTCACCAAGAACTGTCCAAGATCCAAGGACTGCACGTGCCAGGTGACACCTACTGGCACTCTTCAGAGCCAAGGTGCCAACAGGTGGAGCTGGTGCCCTGTGTCTTTCTGTCTCTTGTGATTTAGCCCCAGGAGGACAGAAGTTAAACACTGTGACTCCTGAAAAGCTGGCCTTGAGAGGTTAAGCGGCTCAGCGGGGGTGCCTTAGGGAGTGCAGAGCTGGGTTGGATTCAGCTGTCGCATATGTCTACATGTGCACGCTAGTGTCCTTCCTCCCCCTGTCTGGTCTTGGCCTGCAAGGTACAGGGTTAGGGTCAAGACAGGGCTCCCACAATGCCAGAAATGAGGATTTGAGACTGGAATCTGGGTGATACCAGCTCATCATTACCTAGAGTTGGAAGCAGGGAATAGAGTGGGGGATGGGTATAGGCTGCTCCATTGTCTGATGAGATTACAGATCATGTGTTTCACCCATGCTTGTCCCTCATGCATGTCCTCTTGACTGTCCTACCTGGGATCCTTTTCTCAGAAGCTTTCTTACCTCGTGCACTTTGGAGCATCTCTCCTAGTTTTGGTTCTCCTCTGTTGTACTTGTTCTTATTTTAGTGTCAGATCCGGTGTTCTCAGTCTCTGGAATACAGCTGTACAGTGAGTTACTCAGCCCCACGGTGAGTGCTGCCTTAAGCTCCTTTTAAGCTCAAGGGAACCAAGAGCTCCAGAAATGGGTCATTAAGAATGTGCAGATGTAGAACCCATATTGGCAGCTGCAGATCACAGCCTGTGGCCATCAAGGGAATTTGAAGCCAGTGCAGCACCTTGAGGAACTCTCATCTGGAGTGCCTGATACAGCAGGCAGAAAGGAAGGCAGCTTTGTAGGAGCTGGATTGTGTGGTTTGTAGCGTACACTCTTAGGGCCAGGCCATGGTGGAAGCAGCAGGGCTCAGTGACTAGGGAAGAGGATACCTGTGAAAAGGTGGTGATGAGATGTGGGTCAGGGGAAGCCTGGAGCCCAGACAGGAAGTTAGCATACGGTGGCCAGTGTGATTAGGGAGAGCCCGAAGGAAGCAGTTTCATTGAGAGGCAGCACTGGTGACACTGAGTGAGTTTCTCTAGGACCCCTTAACTACGTCTTTTTGTTAGGTGGTCCTATGTGCTTCTCAGGGACGTGCATGTGTGTGTTTTCAGTATGCATGTGTGATGTGCATGTGCATGCACATATACCATACACATAGTGCTTGTGCTCCTGTGGGTGATAGAATACCAGCACCAGTGCTTTTGTAAGATTACCTCATGGCCTACATGAGGGATTAAGAATACAAGATTTCCCTAAGCTGATTCCCTTCCTGCATCCTATGCCTTTTGGACCAAAAGCTGTGTGGGCCTCACCCACAAAGGTGCTTGGGTTGGCAGACAGCCCCTCCAGCTCCCAAATACCCTCCCTGATCTCCCTTTTCCTCAACCTCAGTGGACAGCAGCAGCTCATGTCTCTCAGCCCCTGTGGTGGCTCTTCCCCCATCTGTCAGTGTGTCAGATGCAGTCCTGGTTATTTGGGCAGGTGTAGTCTCAGGAGCAGGACAAGTAACTTCCTTTTCCTTCTTGCACAGTGGAAGAACGGGGCTGATCTCTTTGCAGCCAGTGCAGGCAGGGCTGGATGCCCCAGGGATTTATTGAAGGGCGGGGTATGGGCTTGGCAGAGATTAGTCCCCTGTCCCTCGGTGTAGAGCAGCCATTGACTCTTCCCAGGTTAATCACGGAGGCTGCAGCACATCAAGTAGGTGGTTTCCATCCTGGGGAGGCAGGAGGGCCTTCATAGACAGGGTCCTGGTTGTGTAAATGAGGACCTGCTCAGAGGCCAGGCTGGAGGGAGGAGTGGGGCTGGGCTTGGGGACCGGTGAGATAAGATGGTCCGAGGGCAAGGGAAGGAGGCTCAGGTCCTAGATCAGACTGTGATGGAGGAGGTTTCTGCTGTGCTTTCATGCCTACCACAGCAGCTGCTCCTCCGTTGGCAGCCCCTACCTGCAGCAGAACCGGATCCCTGAGCTGAGCTGCATTCACTTTCCCCTTGGGAGGCTAGGGGGTGCTATTCCAACACTTGGCTGATCGGCTGCAGCTTGTTTTTCCCAGAGAAGTTAGAGATGGTTGCATGTCCAGTGGGAAGTTTCCAAAACAGGTTTGAACTGAATAGACTTGAGGATGCCATGTTTGTACAGGGAATTTCTGTTTTCAGACTTGGACCTCCCAGTGGGCAGTGCCATTTATGGGCACTGCGTAGTGTGAGGTCAGGTTCTGGAGGGCAGCCTATATGGGGTGGGACCAGTGAGTGCTGCATTGTCTGTTTCTGGGTCACATGCCTGTGAACATCCTGTTGGGTGTGTGTGAGGCTGGTTGTTGGAATCCTGTTGGCTTTCCTGCCTGTGTGTACCATCTTACCAGTTGACTACTGTTGAGAGGAGGGTTCACATTATAGGAGGATGTTGCCCTTGGGAGTCAGTCATGCCACTGCCTCTTAGAATAATGCCAGGGTACCAGCACGGGTAAAACCTCTCATGTCTGTGATGCCCCTCCTCTCACAGGCATGGCAGGACCTAGGCCGGTGGTGCTGAGTGGGCCGTCAGGAGCAGGGAAGAGCACCCTGCTCAAGAAGTTGTTCCAGGAACATGGCAGCATCTTTGGCTTCAGTGTGTCCCGTGAGTGCCCTAGGACCCTGAAGGGCAAGGAGCTCAGAGGCTATCCCAGCACTGGACTACTAGAGTTCCAAATATACACCCCCAGCCTAGGAGATGCTCTCCTTACCCTCCTCAACCCCATTGCCCTCTCCCTTCCCAGGGCCTTCATCTAGAGTAAGCATCTTGGCCCCAGTGACCTCTTGAGATCTGGTCTGGGCTTTCCACTGGCTGTGAGCACCACCTGCTGCTATACAACCAGAAAACTGAGCAGGCCTGCAAGGGAAGACCCTGGGTAGGGTGGAAGGGTTGTACACCCATCCCTTCCGTGTGTGATAGGTCTTTTTTCTAGATACTACAAGGAACCCGCGACCTGGTGAGGAAAATGGCAAAGGTGAGCTGACCTGCTAATCCAAGGGTCTCAAGCATGACCTATTGTGGGGGGAAGCGGGCAGTGGGAGGGCATGAGGGTTTGCTCTGTCCCTTGGCTATAACGGAACTCAGTCCCCAGCAGGAGTATCTCTTGCCTTTGGGTTAGTAGCTTGATTAGAGTCTGTGCATCATCAGAGTGAGGGCTGGACCTTCTGCCTGCCTGATATATGGCAGGGGTATCCCCCTTTTCTATGGAACTTGACTATTTCTAGTCCCCCAGCAAGGACAGTGAGGACAGTGGTGTCTGTTCCAGTCTGGATCTAGCTAGAACAGTCCTGTGTAGGATGGAGAGGGGCCAGGCCAGGCAGGTCTGGGTTTTGGGTATCCTCTGAAAAGCCCTCTTCTTCTCCAGATTACTACTTTGTGACTAGGGAGATGATGCAGCGTGATATTGCAGCAGGGGACTTCATTGAGCATGCTGAGTTCTCGGGGAACCTTTATGGTACAAGGTGGGCTGAGTTTGGTGTGGATCAAGGTAACCCCAGAATTGGCAGAAGGAAGCTCTCCCCTCTGTCATATGATGTCCTCCCAGTCTCCCACCTAGGCTTAGCTGATAGACTCCAGGGAGCAGGCGGGCTGAGTCATGCCCAGGCTCGTCTGTCTCAAGCCATCCTGTATGGTTGGAGCCACATGAGATACCTCACACAGGAAGGGGTAGGCAGTGACAGGCAGCTCAGGCCTGACCAAAAGCCCAAACTCTTTTGGCTTTTGGCTGCAGGACAGGTTCAAAGGACTGTGCTTTCAGAGAATTTGTCAAGGCCAAGGGTATGCTTGAATGTTCTGAGAAGTACGGACGGTGCTGGGTTCAATGAGCCTCTGCTCTTCCCATGCTAGGCCTAGGATGGGGCTCGGGGAGGAAGGGGCTGAGTTTCTCTGAAGCTCTTGGAAGCTTTAAGAGACTACTAAAGGTTGAAGTTTAGCAGCCAATGCATGTATTCCTGAGAGGATGGCCAGCAGGCAAGGACTCATGTGGGGTTAAGGGCTAGGGTCTGGCCTTGGGTCCCATTGAATGTCTGCTCACTGCCCTTCCCTGCTCCCAGCAAGGCGGCTGTTCGGGCTGTGCAGGCCATGAACCGCATCTGCGTGCTAGACATCGACCTACAGGGTGTGCGCAACATCAAGAAGACTGATCTGCATCCCATCTACATCTCTGTGCAGCCCCCCTCGCTGGCTGTTCTGGTGGGTACCTGGTGTGGGAGACCTGCAGGGCAGGCCCTGAGACTTGGAGAGTACTGACTCAACAAAGGCCTGCATTTCAGGAGCAACGACTGCGGCTGCGCAACACTGAGACTGAGGAGAGCTTGGCAAAGCGACTGGCAGCTGCACAGGCTGACATGGAGAGCAGTGAGTGTGGTCAGGTCGTTTATACCTTATGAGCATGTGGTCACCCCATTCACCGAGACACAGGGAGGACCAAGGGCAAAGATGGAGGAGTTGGAGACCTCTTTGTCTGCAGAGCCTTTGAGGGGCCACACTTCTCTTACTGACTTGAGTGTGTCATAGGCATCTTCTTGCAAGCTGTGCTCTTGTTTCTGGATCTGAACTTGGCCCACATTCAGGCACTGTCACTGAGACCTTTTGCTGTTTCTCTATGTGCATATGGGAGCCCATCACAGTTCTAAATAGAGTCAGTTCTAAATAGAGTCCGGGGGAAGGGGCAGTGGTCCATACTCTAGTACTCAGAACTTGATGAGCAAGCCCCAGCTGAGGTTCTCTAGAGGGGAAGGCAGAGTTCCATCCAGTCCTGGTGGTCCTACTACAGTGACAGGCAAGAGTAGACAGGTAGAGGTTGTTGCAGTGCTGTAGGCCTGGAAGGGGCCAGATTCCTTGTGTTCTGACTCTTGTCTTGTCTCATTCCCAGGCAAGGAGCCTGGCTTGTTTGACCTGGTGATCATCAATGACAACTTGGATAAAGCCTATGCAACACTGAAGCAGGCTCTGTCTGAGGTGGGCCCCTCCCCATCCACCCTGTCCTGGCACAGTACAAGCGCAAAGTTCAAGAGTCCTTTGGGGCCGGGGGAGGATCTGAGACCCAGCCCTCCCTGGTTCCCTGCCTCTCCTGACTTTCTGTTTTCCTTCTTCCTTGCAGGAAATCAAGAAAGCTCAGGGCAGTGGCCATGCCTGAAGGTCGGCCTCATTCTATAGAGTGACGCCTGTGCCCCACATATCCCTGGGCTGTGAGGTGGGGAGATCTCTGCCGGGGCACCAAGGACTTGTATAGACTTCTCCTGTGCAGTAGGAGGAGCTCCCCTTGTCTGGCCACATGGTGGCTCTTCACCCTGTGCTGGCTTGCTGAGGCTGAAGGACTCTGAAATGTACCCACTTCTGTTCTCCCTGGGCTGTCCCTGTCCCTCCTGCTGGAGCAGGACTGACACCCTAATAAAGTAACTATTGGGTTAGAGTGTCACAGCAGTTCACACTGGGCCTATGGCCCCTAGTTGCCCACCTCTACCTGGTCAACCCGTATGAAAGCTGCCAAGGGGATTCTGCATAGGTGTCTGGTGGCCCCTGTCCCTGCCCATATCAGGGTCCACCAGTCATCAGAATGCTAGCTGGGTTGATTGTGATCACTTCTTCCCCTAGGAACCTGTCAACTGGGACAGCCAGCATGGGTTGGAATGGGGCTTAAGTACTGCTGCCTCTTTGAGCTGTTTCTGAGCCATTTAGGGATACAGAGTGACAAGAATCACTGGCCAGGAAGGAAAGTGCCCAGCCATCAGGGAAGAGCATGAAAAGCTGAGGACATAGTGCTGGCCCTGGGACCTGTGGGTGCTGTGTTCTCTTGCCCTGATATAGAGCCCGCCAAGCCCCAAGGCAGGCCAGTCAACCTTTCTGAGCTAGAAGAGGGGCAGAGCCTTGGGCTTTTGTAGAGATTCCAGATTCTGAGCCCTAGAGTTTGTAGAGGGTGCAGCATTCCTGAGAGAGATGTCTGTAAGTTGAGGGAGGCTGTCCCTCCCCTTCTGCCCAAGATGAGACATTCTGAGTGTCTGGGTCCTGCTGTCCTCCCCTCTTCCTCTGGGCTCTCAGCCCAGGCTGCCTGACTCCGCCCAGGAGAGCAGTCCCTGCAGTGAGGGCAGTGGCTGTTGCCAGCTACCCCCACCCGGTGGTCAGCTACAGCTCTCCCTTGTGCATCTCCAGGTGAGGCCGCTCCTGGGACAGGACTTGGGCAGATTAGATGGGTGTGAAGAGGGCAGGCAGGTACCCAGGCAGAAGTAGCCAGAGAGACTGGGGAGCCCTGGGAAGCCTCCAAAAGTACAGATGTTCCCCAAGAACTTCCTGGACCTCAAGTGGAGGCTGGGGAAGAGAGGGTCAGGACCTGCCTGGGCCCCCAGCAGGCCTGTCTAGCTCCTCACTGCTCCACCCCCAGGGACAATCATGGATTCAGACCCTGGGGGGAACAATGGAGCCCTTGAGGGCCCCTCCTCCACCCCCCATTGTGCTTGGTGGTGAGAGGTGGCCCTAGCCCTAGCCGGCAGTATGCCCTTGGAGAGGACCAGCATCCCTCCGGCAGGTGGAAGGGCTCAGCCAGAGGCTTGCTTTCCCAGCTTGGAGAAGGTACGGAGGGCACTGATGGGGCTGCAGACAGGCAGGATCTTAGCTGGTCTGTACTGTCATGGCTAATGTGGAGTTTCCCAGGCTCCTGTATTCTCACTGGCCTCTCAGGCTCCGTGGGGGGGGTGTCACAGGCAGTTCCAGTGGAAGACTCCCTGGAGCTCTGGCCAGACTTGTTGCATTAAGGGACCCTCGGGGTGTCCATCAGCTTGGGTCCAGCTGACTTCTCGGCTCTTCTTGGGTAACTAGACCCATGGTGGGGGAAATGGGAACTAACTGGTGAGCTCAGGATGCACTCAGTACCTCCCCCAGCAGCTGCGGCCCTTCAGGCTGTTCTAAGATGGGCCGGTCCACCCTAGCTAGTTGCAGTGTGTCCAGGGGATCAGTATGGGCACCAGGCCCAGTGTCCTCAAACTAAACAAACTTTCTTTATCCACTTGCCTTCTGCCAGGCAGAACCTCTCAGCAGCCGGACCTGCACAACTGCTGATGGTTTAGTATGGCCCTGGAATTGGCAAAGAAGTTCCTTCTAAGTGCTTTCCTACCTGCCTGCTATGTCCAGGGACTGCAGAGGGAGATGTGAGGGTGGGTAACCAAAAGGGGAGGTACCAAGTCCAAGGATGAAGGGGAGCTCTTGCCCAGGAAGGCCTGCTGCCTGCTGGCTAGAGTTGCTGTTGTATGGGGAAGCCTCAATAGACCCTGCTGGGAAGTAAGTTCTAGAGGTGGGCAGGGGATCCTGTCCCAGCTGTGGGAGGGACTGGTGGATGAGGTAGGAGGACTGAAGGACAAGGATCAGGGTGAGTGTGGACTTTCTACAAGTAGTTGGGCACAGGTGTACTCCCTGGATAATTCCAAAGGAAGGCATGTAAATTTTGGTGGTGCCTACCCAGGCCAGCATCTCTGTTTCTGGAATGCAGTTTAGCTGAAGGCAGCTATTAACCTGTAAGAGTTACCCAGACTCAGGGTTGTGACTCTCCTACTAGGCCCACGCTGGCCCTTCTATTTTTCTGGATATCACCCCCCTGCCCCTGGTAGTTCTGTCTGCTTGAGCTCCCAGGAGGGTGTCTTGGATGCCAGTGAGGAAAGGTGGCAGGTGAGACCCCCATAGATCGTAGGAGGAGGTGAGTAGTTTATACTGGATACCCAGGGCTTGAAACCTGGTATGACAGGTTCTAATGCTTGTTGGCCACAGTAATTATCCCTGCACCCACCCCTCATTTGCATCTCCTGATAGTCCTGGGGTACAGTCGAGGACCTTTCCCCAACACACATACACACACATATACCAAATTACTGGCCATGTGTTTACTAACACACTGGCCCTGCTAGCTTCAGGGTTCTGGTCAGTTGAGGACCAAGGGCTGGATGTGTGAAAGGACTGCTTACAGTAGAGGATACCACTTCTGTCCTAGAGAGACTTCCCAGAGGAGACGGGCTGAATGGGCTATGTACTGTGTGTGTGTGTGTGTGTGTGTGTGTGTGTGTGTGTGTGTATGTGTGTGTGTGTCAGGCACTCCCTGATCAAGCTGAAGCACATCACCACCACCGCAGAGTCTAATTCTGGATCAAGATATAGGAACTGCTTTGGAGCAGGAGTTGTTTGAATGAACCCCTTCAATGAGCTGTGAATGCTGGCGATGGCTCCACACCTCTGTTGGAGCCCTGTGTCTTCATCATGTTTAAATTCATAACAGAGTGGATAACAGTACAGAAAAGTTCGTAGTGGACCTTGTATCCCAGGCCCCATTAATATGAAGCATGTCACTATAATAAACTAATGCTGCCTCTGTGTTAGCCGAAGATCACAGGTCAGGTGTTTGCTACAGTCGCTTGACCCCTCCTAACACTGGGGCACTTCTTGGAAGACAGTCTCCTTGTCTTAGCTGCCCACAGCTACTTGAATACCACCTAGGTATTTTGTAGGGTGCCCCTCTTGGAAGTTGATCAGTGTTTTCTCTTGCTCTGTTGGGTTATGGGTTTCGGGAAGAACACTGAGAGTGATGGGCCATCTTTCTAGATGGTATCAACAGGACTTATGCCATGATGCCCTCGGGTGTCACTGCAAAGGCTCAGGTCCCTCTTTCATGCTGTCATCTGATACGATGCTGCTACCCACATGAAACCGCTGGAGTGGGGTGTGCGCTTCCTACTCCTGTGGAGACTCTGAGAGTGGTGGGCAGGTCCTCTGCATGGAAGCAGGGGATGTTTCTCCTCTCCTCAGCCTGATGGTTGTGTTGGGTGGGTACATGGATGCAGTTGCTGTCATCCAGGGTATCTATAACGACAGCTGCAGTCTGTAATCCTACTTAGTCTGTTGGTTAAATTATTGCAGCTTCAGTGTGTCCTATCCACTTATCAATGTTCATGAGTGTGTAAGCATGTTCTTCCTCTTTGAGTTTGTCCCACACTCTTCATCCCCTTACCTAGCCATCTGATTAGCCACTTCCTCGGGGATTCCCAGTTCCTCTTACTGGATGAGAAGTTAGAAACCAGAACCTGGGACCTAGAAACGTTCTTTGTTTTATTTTGTGACTGGGGTTTGAGAAAGGGTTTCAGTGTAGTTCAGGCTGGCATCAAACTCACCATGTAGCAGAGGGTAACCTTGAATCCTGATCATTCTACCTATGCCTCCCAAGTACTAGAATTATAGGCAGCATGATCATACCCATCTAAGAAAGTGCTTTTACTCAGGTGTTTCTGCAGTCAGGGCCCTTCAGACAACCAGACAGAGCACATATGCACACCACAGCTTTTCATGGTGTATCTGTAAGTATTATCTGTGAGAGCCCGCTTTTACCAAGCTAAACACAAATGTGTCCTGGAGTCCCCAGCATATAGATATATCAGAAAATTAACCCTTATACTGATTGGGAAACCTCTGATAGGCAGACTGGAGTAATGAGTGTGCATAGGTGCAAATGTGTGTGTGTTTATAAACCTTGTATGGCCAGGTGATTGTGTTTGTACAGTCAGGGAAAGGCAGCAGGTATGGACACTAGCATAGCAGAGAGTATAGCAGGAGCCAACTGAGGAAAGGGCAGGGCACTTGGCACAGTGGCTAAGTGAGACCCTGATAGGGGCCCTAGCCAGAAGTTACTGAAGGAACTGAGCATTGTACACGCCTAAAAATCCCAACACGTGGCAGATAGAGGAGGATGAAGAGTTCAAAGTCATCTTAACTCTTAAAAATCAATGAATAAGGAGTCTGTACCACATGAAACCTTGTCTTAAAAAAAAAAAAGCCATTGAGGGCTGGCAAGATGGCTCAGCAGTTAAGAGCACTGACTGCTCTTCCCAGAAGTTGTGACTTCAATTTCTAGCAACCTTATATGGTGGATCACAACCATCCATAATGAGATCTGGTGCCCTCTTCTGGCTTGCAGGCATACATGCAGGCAGAACAGTATATCCATAATATATAAACCTAGGCTGGGCGGTGATGGGGCACCCCTTTAATCCTGGCAATGGGGAGGCAGAGTTAGGTGAATCTCTGTGAGTTCAAGGCCAACCTGGTCTACAAGAATGAGTTCCAGTACAGGCTCCAAAGCTACAGAGAAACCTTGTCTTGAAAAACCAAAAATAAATAGATAAATAAAAACAAAAAAAGCTATTGTGCATGCATTTAATCCCAGCACTCGAGAGGCATAAGCAAGCGGATCTCTGTGAGTTTGAGGCCAGCCTGGTCTACAGGGCGAGTTTCAGGACAGGCTCAAAGCCATTGAAGGGCAGCAGGGATAATCTGATCAGTGTGCATTCTAAAGTACTCAGTGGGCATGGAGCCAGGTTTATAAGGAAGAGTGAAGCAGCTGGGACTAGAGAGAGAGAGAGTGGCCGCCTGGTGCAGGTGGCAAGTGTGGGTGGTTCAGGGTTTACTGATAAACCCAAGATATGCAGGAGATAGCAACTCAGATAAAGTAATCCAAGGGTGGAGAGGTCACATTGGAGGAGAGATTGACGTGTGGGTCTGACCCGCTGTAGTTTGAGGTGCTTGCTTGTGTTCCAGTGCCAGGGCTAGGCAGGAAAGTTAGAGACTAGAGGTTCAAGTTTGGAAGTCTCCAGGTCAGCTCTACAACCACAGCACTTAGTGCCATGCCTGAGAGTAAACTGCTGTGATTGTATGCATGCACTGAGTGATAAGTCATTCCAAAGCAAAATCCCACTGTCTGTCCAGGGCCAAGGTCAGCCCAGGGCTAAGCTACGGTGTCTCTGTTGTTGCCCATACACATCTTACAATGACAGGAGTAGGAATACTGGAGAAATGGCAAGCTGCCAACCAAGGCAACCAGAAATCTGTTATTAAATACCACACACTGCTAAGCAACTCTACTCGGGAACTCCTAGTTCCAGATCCTGCTGGTAAGTCTTAGGCTCCTATGATTGAGGTTTCAAGTAGCGGCTAAGATTGCAGTTGAGGTAAGAGAGTTGAATCCACGCCTGAGAAGGCCCAGGTAGCCCAACTGTGTGTCCATGTCTGAGGCAGAGAAGTAGAAGGAGTGGCCCCTGAAGGTGTAGCAGCCTGTGAATGTGCTTGTGTGAATGTGTTCATTCTTGACGTGGGAGTGTGCATGTGTAAGGGATCACGTGCTTGAGCTTTTCTTTCTGAATGATCACTCGAGTCTTTGTCTTGATTCTTTGCATGTGTGGTTGAGTTGGTAAATAAGTGTATATGAGTGTTAGTATATATGAATATGTGTGTGCCAGCATGTGTGTGCACATATTTATGAGTGTATACATCTTTGTATATACATTTGTGTCTAAATGCATATGTATGCATATGAGTATACACCATGTTTATGAATGTGCACCTGTGTGTATATGCGGGTAACTGTATGTTGTATGTGCATGTGAATGTTTGCATATATAACACACACACATAGACATGTGTGCATGCGTGTATGCACATGAGGGTGTGTGTCTCTGATTGCATACGTGTAGTCCCAAGAGGGAATTCACAGATGTGAGGATGTGGGGGCATTTCCTCAGGAACCCCCGTTGTCCTGCTGGCTGCCCCCTCTTCCTGCCCTGAGGGGAGAGGCCCTAGTTACATAAAGAGGCCTGGAGCCGCCACTCCTGATGGTGGTCCATGCCTGCTGCTGCTACCTCCTAGGCCCTGCCCCGGGGAAGGAGTCTGGAGTGTCAGTGCTGAATGCTTGGGGGACTCCTGCTCCAAAGCTTCCCAAGAGCAGGTACTAACTCTGTGGTAGCTGTGAGGAGGGAGGGTGGGCATCAGTGAACCACAGAGCCCTTCTCTGTCACATATCTGGTTCTAGACTGAGTTGGTCAGGATGTTGCCATCCCTGAGGCTCACAGGTGCCCAAGTGTGGCTGTGAATCAGTCTGTAGCCTCACCAGACATGGTCCTGCCTGGACAGATCTGGGACTGGATAAAGAGCCCTGGCTGGTCTCTCTGAGCAGTGGGTGTGGTGGCTGGCTGAGTGCTGCAGGACTAGCAGGGGGCTTGGGGAGGATGAGGGTCATTTATGGAAGGGACTTCCAGAACTGCTTGCAGGTTGTGGAAGGAGAAAAGTTGAGGCTGCTGGACAGTTGGAAGCTAAAGTATTGGGGAGGGCTGGGACCCAAAAGGTGTGTATGGTTTGGGTGTTTGGGGCTGGGGGATGATGAAGCCTCAGGACTATGGGGGGCTGTTCTGACCACAAGAGCTGGGAAGTAGCAGAGGTTGTGAAGGTCTGAGTGGCTGGCAAGCTTCAGGTTAGCCCTAAGAGAGTGGCATCCAATCTGGGGCTGAGCTGGACTGGTACTGCCTTGTTTTCCCCCTCTGCCAATAAAGGCAGCACATAGGCTCTATGGCTCTAGGGTCCTGGGACAGAGGTGCACTTCCCACAAGTTGGAACTTTCTTCGGGAACTTTGGGAAAGAGAAGACAGGAAGGGCTGGAGCAGTTGTCAGTGGGAGATGCTCTGTCCCCATCCTTAGCAAGTACGGTGAAGGTGCAGATGAGGAAGAGCTTTTCTGCAAAGTAGTGAGCTCAAGGTCATCTGGGGTGTGTAAGTAGAACCCAATTGTTGGACGAGCCTGCCAGCACAACTCTGCCACCCCATCCCGCAGTTCCCAGTTGCCCCCTGCTGACTACCAATCATACTTGCCTGTAGGTCCCACCTGCTCGCTCCCATGACCAACATGAGCTGGAGCTTCCTTACGCGGCTGCTGGAGGAGATCCACAATCATTCCACCTTCGTGGGCAAAGTGTGGCTCACTGTGCTAGTGGTCTTCCGAATTGTGCTAACGGCTGTGGGTGGCGAGTCCATCTATTCGGATGAGCAATCCAAGTTCACCTGTAACACACGGCAGCCGGGCTGTGACAATGTTTGCTACGATGCCTTTGCACCCCTGTCACACGTGCGCTTCTGGGTCTTCCAAATCGTGGTCATCTCCACCCCTTCTGTCATGTACCTGGGCTATGCAGTCCACCGCCTGGCGCGCGCCTCGGAGCAGGAGCGCAGACGCGCCCTCCGTCGTCGCCCCGGCCCTCGGCGGGTGCCCCGGGCTCAGCTGCCACCTCCGCCTCCTGGCTGGCCGGACACCACCGATCTGGGAGAGGCGGAGCCCATGCTGGCGCTGGAGGACGAGGAGGACGATGAGCCGGGGGCGCCCGAGGGTCAGGGGGAAGACACGGAGGAGGAGCGCGCAGAGGATGTGGCTGCCAAGGGGGGTGGAGGTGATAGCAAAACGGTGGTCACTCCCGGACCGGCCGGGCAGCACGACGGGCGACGACGCATCCAGAGGGAGGGCTTGATGCGTGTGTACGTGGCCCAGCTGGTGGTAAGGGCGGCTTTCGAGGTGGCCTTTCTGGTGGGCCAGTACCTGTTGTATGGCTTCGAGGTGCCGCCCTTCTTTGCCTGCAGCCGCCAGCCTTGCCCGCACGTGGTGGACTGCTTCGTGTCGCGGCCAACCGAGAAGACGGTCTTCCTGCTGGTCATGTATGTGGTTAGCTGCCTATGCCTGCTGCTCAACCTCTGTGAGATGGCGCACCTGGGCCTCGGCAGTGCGCAGGACGCTGTACGCGGTCGTCGGGGAACCTCAGCACCGGGTCCAGGCCCCGTGCCGCGCCCACCTCCCTGCGCTTTTCCGTCTGCGGTCGCCGGCCTGGCTTGTCCTCCGGAATACAGCCTGGTGGTGCGCGCGGCTGAGCGGGCGCGCGCGCACGACCAGAATTTGGCTAACCTGGCCCTGCAGGCACTGCGCGATGGGGCGGCGGCGGCGGTGGCCGCTGATCGGGACAGCCCTCCGTGTTCAGGACTCAATGCAACCTCTCGGGGGGCACCCAGGGCGGGCGGCCCAGCTTCCGGAACCGGTAGTGCCACGTCGGGGGGCACCGTTGGGGAGCAGGGCCGACCCGGGGCTCAGGAACAGCTGGTCACTAAGCCCAGGGCGGGCTCTGAGAAGGGCAGTACAGGCAGCAGGGATGGCAAGGCCACTGTGTGGATCTGAGGGCACTGGGGAGAGCTCAGGGAGGGCCTAGCATGAGGGTTCAATGGAAATCTTTGTCTTCAACCAGTGGCCACTGACAGATCCCTTTAGGGGTCTTTAGAAGAGGAAGCTGAAGACCCCTAAGAGGTGCTGGCTCAGGTACCTCCCCGCAGGATGGGAAGAGGAGTCCAGCGACTTGTCTGTGGCCCCTGGTGGGGGAGCGAGCTGTGTCCCAGTAACTGACTGCCCCTCCAGGCTATTAAACAGGATGACCCCTCCGCTGGGCCCCCAGCGCTTTCTTCTAGGCTCTCCTGCAGCTTCCCCATAGAATAGAGTAACTGGCTTCTCCTTTGGGGGACTGTGTTTATTCTCACTGCAACAGCAGGTGGGTTCCTCAGCCCTGACAAAGTCAGAAAACTCTCAGGTCAGGGACAAGCACGCAGCCTTGGTCTTCTCCCAGCTCTTGACTCCCTGCTTGAGGCAACTAAGTAAGACCTGAAGGAGACCTGGGCTGAGTACTGTCTCCTCTCCCTGAGCTGAGGCAGCCAGGCATGGGCCGTTTCTAGGACATTCTGGAAGTTCTGTTGTGCCTTGCTGCTTAGATCCATAAGGCTGTGGTCCAGAGCTGTGTTTTTGGCCATGCTGGAAAATTAGAGCTCTGGGGAGCCTAGACCCGTCTTTTGTGCCCTCCTCCCTGTTTTAAAGCCAACTTCTGGAACAAACGAAGTAAAATAAAACTAACTTTTGTTTATAGCCAAGCGTGTATGTGTGCTTATATGTCTGAGCCCACATTGCACACTGGTCTCTGTGCACCAGTGTGTGTGCAACCGTGTGCGGTGGGTCTGTGTCTGAGCATTCAGAATGTATTCACTGCAGTTCATTGTGGGGAGACAGCTTAGTTGCTGGGAAGCTGGGAGAGAAGACCCCTCCTCAGGGACAGGCTTGGGAATAAAGCTAGAGACCAAACCCTGGAGGTTATCAGACCTATGATGGTGCCACTTGGTGCCAGGCAGCATGCCAGGGTCGGGTGTGGGGCTTGTTGGAGCATACAGATGTCAGAAACAAAGAACAATCAGCAGAAGGTCGGCCTGCAGCTCAGGGCACAGAGGTAGTCCATCTTGTGTTGGAGGTGTGCAGTGCTGGTCAGGACAATGGTGCTGCCTTTGGAGCCTTCTCAGAGCCGACTCCAGGTGACCAGCTGCCTCCTGTGAGGGCCAGAACAGCTCTTCACCTCCCAGCTGCACATCCCTTCCTGGAGTCCCTGTCCAGGCTCAGCTCAGCCTCAGTCTCACCTCAGCGTGACTGGAGTCAGATAGAGCAGGCTGAGTCTCTTTCCTTCTGGAGACCACATACCCGGTCCCAAGTCTCAAGAGTGCTCTTAACTCCAGCTGAGCCCCACTCCCAGTGAACCCTGCCTTCAGGTGAACCCCACTAGTCCTCAGCTGAATCTTAGCCCCAGGTGCACCTGGCAACCAGGAAGACCCTGTTTCAGGAAACTCTGACTAGTCTAGGCTGAGCTTCAGCTGAACTTCACCTCTAGGTTAGCTCCTGCTTCAAGCTGAGTGAGCTTTGTCCCTAGGAAATCACAGGCCATGCTGGGAGTGGAGCCTCAGGAAGGAAGATAAATCCAACCCAGAGCAGCGTCTCCAAGTGGGGTCTGGTGGGGTCCAGTGGAGTCCGACTGATAGATAGCATCTCTGCTGAGAAAGCATCACTGTCACAAGCCATTGTGAATTTTGGGTTGTGCTGTTGGGGTGTTATCATAGAGTGGGGGCAGGGACTCTATGCTGGGGGAGGAACATAGAGTTAAATATGCCTGTTAACCAAGTCAGCTCTCAGCCCTCCTTCTACCTGTTTGTTCTAGTTAGACCTTAGACCTTCACCGGACTGGACAAGGCCACCCAGCTTTCGTCGGTCTACTGATTCAAATGCCATTTATCTCACAGAGAAACACTCTCCCAGATACACCCAAGACATCATTTTTAATCATTCTTAACCAACACCGGTAGCTGTAGCGTCTGATAACTGGGTAGGCGTCTAGAGTGTGTAACGGTCAGAGCAGGCTATCGGTGTGTCTGTCTCTGGAGTGTCATCATTTTGTAATGCTCTTTAGTGTTGGAGCTTTCAGGCCCTTCTCTCCTACTTTTTCAACTAAGTATGTGAACAATTGTAAATTATAGCCTAACAGTTGGCCAGGTATCTAGGCTCCATTCTCCAGCCTGGTGAGAGAGACAGAGTTAGGTGGTTTCCTTTTTAGACAGAGGACAAGAGGCCCCTGAGAAGAAAAACCTGTACAGACAGGCAAAGCCAGTTTCTCAGTGAGCTCTATGTGAGGATCCCAGAGCAGCAGGTGTACCAAGGCTGTGGGGGACAGTGAATGCGGAAGCTGAATCCAGAAAACAAACGTGCGCGCCTGCGCGCGCGCGCGCGCAGGCGCGCACACACACACACACACACACACTCAATTGAAATTAATTAAAAGATGAAAATTTAGCTCCAAAGCCCTTCTTCCCGTGAATACCGGACTGGGACTTGTGAGCATAGTGCCTCTGTAATCAACTTCCTTCTCTCTTAAGTGTAGCTTGGGAGCTGTTTTCAAAGATGGTTGGCCACAGGCTCTTCCTCTCCTCACTTCCTGTTCTTCCTTCCCTCAAATCCTCCTGGTGGGCTTTTCCCGATCCCTCACGTATCTGCCTTATCTCCTGCTACATCCACGGCTGTCTCGCCAGTGTAGCAGAAATGCTGACTGGATGGGCAAATATTGCCGGAAGGATTTGTGCTTCTAGGAGCTGTGTGTTCCAGGCGGTCCCTTGGCAACCAGTTGTGGTGTAATGCTACCTGAGTCGCCATTAGTACTGACTTGACCTGGCTGTCCTTGGAGCCATATGTGTGTCTTTTCCCTTGTCTGTGTGTTCTTTGTGATCCTTACATATTGCCAACAGATCAGACTATTCCAGGCAGTTGTGGATATAAACAAGACTGCTGAGGACATTTTTGAATTCTGCTCCACTATTAATTAAAGCCTTAAAAAAGTAGCCAGTTCTGGGAATTGCCAAAATCATCATTAGGACAATTCCTTGATGATGTGGAATAAAAGGAGTTAATCTTAGCAGAAAAAACCTTAGAAGCCTTCTACAGGAAAACAGCATTAGGCATTTATGTGCAACTTAACAGGAGGCCTATGCAACCTTCCTTATGGCCAGAAAACCTAGGCTAATTACAACATCTGACCCTGAGAGTCGGGAAGGGAAAGGAGTTGAAATTAATGGTACAAAATGAGTCTCAGAAAGTTTTTCCAGGAAGATACTAGCCTTCTTCTTCTTTCTCACCCAGACACACAAGGTCACTTAGCTGAGCCCAAGTCAGCCACCTGGTACAAGCTGATAAAGGTGGGCTAACTCAAGAACAATGGTCTCTCTAATAACAAGAAAAAAGAAGGGGTAACTTTACAAATGTAAGGAAGCAAAAGTCCTTGTACTCATGCCAAAGCATCTTTAAAGATTCTCTTTGTAAAACTGTTTTATGCCGTTCTTTTCTATTTTATGATCTGATGATGTATGCCTTTGCCAAGTTCTTTGTTTGTAATAATATATAATCCTGCACTGAAGTAAGTAAATCGCAACAGCATGTCTCAAAAACATTGAGTGTGTCTGTGTGTCACTTTTCCTCGCCGTATCCTGATTTCTCCTGTGCCTTCGCCCTGATTCCCTTACGGTCTGAGTGGCTCCCTTGAGCCGGTCTGTAGCAATCTCCCACCTAAACAAAGTTCCCACATCTATCCAGTTCAGCTAGACAGAAACCTGGGACACCTCTCAATCCAGTTCCTGGTTTACATGGAGGCCGGAGCCAAGCAGACTCAAGCAGTAGGCATGAGGAATGGCCCCGCCAAGTCCAGGTCAACTGGAAACTCCCTCTGAGTTCCCTTCCTTGTAGGGAGCCGCTTCTCTACTTCTGTAAGACTTTGGTTGTCCTTCTGCTGTCCTCGAGATTATTTATTTACTTGTTTATTGTGATCAGTTTTGAGACAATGAACCTGGGAGCCACTGGCTCAGAATGACTTAGGTGGCCATAGAATTTCTGGAGCCCCAGTTCCCTGGGTTAAGCACACTCAAGCCAAGAAATAGGCTTTGTCACATTTAAAGACTCCCATAGGCCTAGCAGACACATAGAGTTCCCACTGTGGAGGATCTGGAGATAGCCTAGCTTCTGCTTGGGGGAACCTCAGTTTACTCAGCTAGATAGGGAACCCAGTGTGCAGTAGGTAACCACAGCGCCTGTGTAGTCTGTTTCTTTGGAGACTCCTGGCTAAGAGCCGCTCCCTGGAGGCTTCCAAACTGTATTTTGCAAGTGGGTTGGTTGCTCCATAATGGGTGCCTTGTATAGAATTGTGGCCTCCCACAGGCATGGGTGCTGCAAGCTGAGGACCAGAGTTGCTGTAGAAATGGCTGCTCCTGAGGCCCCTCTTCTTGGCTTATAGACATCATCTTCCCACTGTATCCCCACAGTGGCTGGATTAGGGCTACCCTGGTGACCTCATTTACCTTATGCATATCTTTGGTGAATGAAACTTTTTAAGTTAGGGTTTCACTGTAGGTCAGGCTACCCTCAAACTCTTGAGCCTCCTGCCTTAGTTTCCCAGTGTGTACCACCACACCCAGTTCCTTAATGATTTCTTTTTTTTCTTTTCAAAACAGGGTTTCTTTGTGTCGCCTTGGCCGTCCTGGACCTCACAGAGATCCGCCTGCCTCTGCCTCCCAAGTGTTGAGATTAAAGGCCCACTACTGCCTGACCCTTAATAATTCTTGAGACCATGTCTTCAAATGCAAACACATTTGAGTTCATGGAGTTTAGGATGTCAGCATGCAATTTTTCCCATATCAAGAGGTACTTGCCCAGCTGAATGTTCTGTGTCCATGGAAGGAGAGACCCTTGCCAGTAATGACTTAGGTACTGTTGTTCCATCCTCATAGAGTGTTCCTGGCTGTCCTTGAAACTGTGCTGGTTAAGTTCCAACCTCTGTGCCATCCACAAATCCTGCCTCTAAGACCAACTCCTTGACAATGTGGACATCACCACAATCACGTGTGTGACTCCAGACAGAGAGGGCAGCAACCAACTAAAGAATGGGGAGGGTCTTCAAGTCCAGGTTGGTGAAACAGTGAGTTTCTTAGGGCCATTTGAGGAATATGGGTAACTCCATAGGGAGCTGTATTGCCAGGAAGTCACCGGGGCAATTCATGGACATTTACACTGGAGAATCCTACGTGCAATGTGGATGGCTTGTAAAAAAGCTGCCCTACGGGAGCATCCTCTGGATGACTTGCAAGTAGCTATGCCATTGAAGAGTCTCTTCCTCGAACTCCCCAGGATCCTACCATCTCCTGTATAACCTTGGGAAGGGGTGGACCAAGTGAGGAGCTCTTGAAAACCCTGTGAGCCCCAAGAGCCTCACCCATAAGGGAACGTTAATGACTTGATCTCATGAGTGACTGAGTGGTCACAGTTGCTCTGGTTCAAGGCAGCATTGTCATGCCCACTTTGAGGAAACAGCTAAACAACATGTGTGATCTCTGAACCTCAAGCTGGGCTGTGGGCTCTCACTGCTGCATGAAGTCTAAGATGCTCAACTCTCTTTAATTTCCTGAGGCTGAAGTCACCTAACTACTAACCTAGCGCTTACTAGCCACTTAACTTCATGCCTTAGATTCCCCATCTCCCTAGGCTAAGCACAGGCCTCACAGGACATTCCTGAC